CTGCTCAGGCCATTGAGTGCTGACACTACAGACTGCTCAGGCCATTGAGTGGTGACACCACGTACTGCTCAGGCCATTGAGTGCTGAAACCATGGAGTGCTCAGGCCATTGAGTGCTGACACCACGGACTGCTCAGGCCATTGAGTGCTGACACCACGTACTGCTCAGGCCATTGAGTGCTGACACTAGGGACTGCTCAGGCCATTGAGTGCTGACACCACGGACTGCTCAGGCCATTGAGTGCTGACACCATGGAGTGCTCAGGCCATTGAGTGCTGACACTGCGGACTGCTCAGGCCATTGAGTGCTGAAACTAAGGACTGCTCAAGCCATTGAGTGCTGACACTAGGGACTGCTCAGGCCATTGAGTGCTGACACCACGGACTGCTCAGGCCATTGAGTGCTGACACCATGGAGTGCTCAGGCCATTGAGTGCTGACACTGCGGACTGCTCAGGCCATTGAGTGCTGAAACCAAGGACTGCTCAAGCCATTGAGTGCTGACACCACGGACTGCTCAGGCCATTGAGTGCTGACACCACGGACTGCTCAGGCCATTGAGTGCTGAAACCATGGAGTGCTGAGGTCATTGAGTGCTGACACCACGGAGTGCTCAGGCCATTGAGTGCTGACACCACGGACTGCTCAGGCCATTGAGTGCTGACACCACGGACTGCTCAGGCCATTGAGTGCTGAAATCATGGAGTGCTGAGGTCATTGAGTGCTGACACCACGGAGTGCTCAGGCCATTGAGTGCTGACACCACAGACTGCTTGGGCCATTGAGTGGTGACACCACGGACTGCTCAGGCCATTGAGTGCTGAAACCACGGACTGCTCAGGCCATTGAGTGCTGACACTATGGAGTGCTCAGGCCATTGAGTGCTGACACCAATGAGAGCAGACCCTTGAAGACTAGGTAGGGGTAGGTCTTCAGCAACCCATACTTGTCATAAGAGATGACAAACGGGATTGTGTGGTCAGACTTGCTGACTTGGTTGATGCTTGTCATCTTATCCCGATTGCCGAGTGCGGCGTTAAACAAAAAGACAAAAACCAAATAACAAAACAAGTGCTGACACCATTGAGTGCTCATACTGTTGACAGCGGCAGTATTTCTTGTGAAACATGTGCCAAAGACTTGTCGCCTCTACTGTACACATTGCCTCAATGTCAGGTAACGGCATGGTTTGCATGAAGTTCATTTGACATGCACAGCCTCATTTCAATCCCTGACTAAAAAGATGTCACTACTACTCTGCCTAGCATCTGTATGTATTCACAGATGACGGGGGAATGTAGTGCATACATACCTGTGACATATTGATGATGCCTAGAAGTGAGTGAGTGAGTGAGTGAGTGAGTGAGTGAGTGAGTGAGTGAGTGAGTGAGTTGTTTTATGACACTTCTAGCAACATTCCAGCAATATCATGGCTGTGGACACCAGAAATGGGCTTCACACATTGTACCCATGTCGGGAATCGAACCAGAGTCTTCGGTGTGATGAGCCAACGCCTTAACCACTAGGCTACCTGACTGCACCCCCTAGAACCAACAGCTATCGGATGCAGGGCACAGCAAGCTTCAGTATTTTAGACCCCGGGGCCAGGACCACCTCTTCCTCTAATTGGACAATGTCATGGAAAGTATGCTATGGTTCCCCAAAGATTTCTCACAGTTGATTAACGGGCAGGTGCTTGGAGAGGGGATAAAAGGACAATCTAAGTCACTGGGGTTATTCATTACAGAAGAATAAGTGTCAATATTTCAGGAGCGTCTCATCTAAGTCTTCCACTCTGACACATAGCTGCTGCTTACATTGAGCGTGAGGATCTTTCAAAAGTTTCCCTTCTACAAAGCAATCATACCGCTGAGACGATCGTAACTCCAATACTTTAACATGGACTTAGGACTGTCGTAGCGCTAAGGTAGCTTTGTGGAACGGGACCATGAATGTTGTTTTCTGTTGGTCAGTTGAACAAGGTCTTGAAATGAAAATATCAGGGCTGTGATTTGCGTGACTTAGGATTTGAATGACTTGGTATCTGGACCTTATTGAGTATTTGGATATGGAGTATGGACACTTAGCTCATGGTGATGTTGTCCTAAGAACTTGACAATGTGGACCTTATGACTTGGGTGTTTTGGAACTTAAAGACATGGCAATAAGACCTTATGACACCATAATGTGGACCTTATGACTAGGTGAGTGAGTGAGTGAGTTGGGTTTAACGCCGCTTTTAACATTATTCCAGTCATATCACGGCGTATCAGCTTAATGTGGGAGGAAAGCCCGAAGTGATGCAGGTCTCAGACGTTTACCACTTCTGTGAAACCCATGAGCACGGGTATGGTGCTGACAAACCTAGAAACATAATCGGGGCGAAGTGGGATTCGAACCCACAACCATAGGTTTCAGGCGTGTCCAATAGGCGCAACTCTGCACAGTGAATCGGGCGCCTTAGACGACAGAGCCACCCGTGGACATGTGGACCTTGAGGACCTTATGACAAAGCGATATGGACCAAAAGAACTTGGATCTTTGGGATGTCAACATAATGTTGGTAGGTCAATCCAGAGGCTAAAGTCCCAGGGATCCATGAACCTATTTTCTGACTGTGGTCTAAACATGTTACATCACGAGAATCAAAATCCATAACGACCTTGTACAGTTACTGATATTGTTAATCAGAAAACACAGTCTACATCTCAGCACTACTGTGAAAGAGTACTTGACACAGACTGACTGGAAGTCTATATACTGCTAGAGAGCACAATACCACACCAAGAACTAACCATGTCACATCAGTAACACAATACCCATGCAACACTGGCCTTTATACCTCCACATGCACACACACACACACTGACCTCATCTACAGCATAACATACACTGTAATATCTTGACCTCATCTATAGAATAACATACAGTGTAATACCATGACGTCATCTACAGCAGAATATACATTGTAATCCTTGACCTCATCTACTGCATACCATTCACTGTTATACCATGACCTCATCTACAGCATACCATTCACTGTTATACCATGACCTCATCTACAGCATACCATTCACTGTTATACCTTGACCTCATCTACAGCATACCATTCACTGTTATACCATGACCTCATCTACAACAGTCACATCATGGCATGTCACCATGTAGTTGGAGAACCTAGAAGGGATGCATGTTCACCACCTTGATGAAACCAACGAGAACAGGTAAGGGACACAACTCTGCAGCAAATTGTAGCATCAGTGGTTTCCCCAGGACACAGAATTTCGGATCAAGTGAACACATTAAATACTGAGCCACCCAATCTCATCTATAAAAACTTGGCCACACATGAATTCATATACGTCATAGGTCTAAAACTTAATGATCAATCATGTTAACAGGTTGCTAAATAGTTGTTGGTCTAATCAATACGCAAACCACAACCTAGCAGAGTATTAGTCCAAGTACTATCCCTGATCAAGCCAACTAGACTGCAAGCAAAAAGATCATCTACTTAGCACTTTAGTTCAAGATAATGTTCTTAATTAACAGGAAATACAGAACTAAACCCACCTTGTCATTATGAAGATAAATCATTATTTCTCCTAACTGGCTTTCATAAAAATCAACAAAGTCACAATCAGCAATTTCAGAACTCTCATCACATATTCACAATGTTGAAGACTTAGTTTCCACTATGTAAGACACAATACTGAGATAGTTCCAGCTGGCAGCCATGCAAATATCAAGGGCCGTCACCCGTGACAAGGTGTTACACGCACACAGTTATAATGTCAACACCTCTAGATCCTGTCTGAGACAGTATTGTTAGTTTCAGTTTTCACAGGGTTCGTACAAAATTTCAAAAACAAAATTCAAGGCCTTTCTAGTTTCTTTCAAAGACCTCCCCAAATTTCAAGGACAGGCATTTTGATATTTCATTACCCTTATTACAGTTACCATTTGAAGAGTCGCACACCTGGACATCAATTTGTTTCTGATCAAGCCAGGCATAATCAACTTTAACAAAATCAGCCCCTCAGAAGAAGGGAGATAACTTCATGGTCACTGAAAGAAGGGAGATAACTCCATGGTCACTGAAAGAAGGGAGATAACTCCATGGTCACTGAACAGGAAAAGAATACATTCACAGTATTCACCATTGCCTTGAAGATATATTATTTATTAGGTAATTTACTTTTGACGGGGATGGGGTAAGAAATCCAAGGCTTTTCAAGGCACATTATCCATTTTTAAACAAAAACTTCCAAAAACTTTTCAACCCTGTGCGAACCCTGTTCTACAACACATTCGTTACAAGAGCTTTGCAAGATACTAAGATAATAATCATCTCTATTTACAGAGATGCACACATAAATCTAACCATGATTCCTAGTCGTTAGTCCAGTCGAGCAAGAGCTTAGCAAATGAACATCACAAATGTCCTCCAACTTAAAGTATGCTGAGATTCCATGCACTAGCTAGAAGTGGCATGCATGTCATCCAATTTGAGAAAAGAAGCAAGTTAATGAATACAAATGTCAACTGATGACCAGCATTGCAGCATTAGTGTCCATGCAGATAGTCACAGATGTTTCCGTGGTAAAACAGTTTGAACATTTGGAGACATTTTCCCATTGTGAGACTCATACTTCAGTTTGGAGGAGATCTGTTCTGGCACAAGAACCCATAGAAACACAATCATGTGAGAGTCGAAATTTGTAAAATAATCAAAATGATAAATTACTTTAATTTGTACCAAAATAAAAATAAAACAAGCAGCCTCTGTTTGCACAGTTCATTAAAAAAAAAATGTGAGATTTTACAAGTGCTTCAAGCAATGCTGCTTTTGCACTTGGTGTGAAATGTAACTGAAGAGCACTATATAAACTAAGAAATAGTATGTTGCATGAAGTGAAGTAAGAACTGTTTCAATGACTGTTTGTGTGGATTCTGGTACTGGCAGAGTATAGTAAGCTTCAAGCAGAACAGCATTCTTACTGGAATATTTATTAGCATAATCATCAGGCAGTATCTGTTCATGCTTGTACGGAGGAGAGCGGATAGGAGAGGACACAACGGGTGACGTGTGCCCCGACTGCCCGCGGCTGGTGGCACCTGAATCAGATCCCCCTTCTGTTGATAGACGGCGTCGGTACAGCGCCTCGTGGCTCCCTCCAAGGGAGTTCTGCGGCTTCTTCTTGTTGGATCTACAAGTACAAGACTGGTGAGTGAGGGGGGAGGGGGTGCTTTGCCACGTCACAATGATCAATTAAAAGTACTTATCAGTAGGAGTGAATGAGTGAGTTTGGTTTAAAGGTGAGGTGAAATGGGGTTCAACGTCGTGTTCAAGATTATTGCACTTAAAGATTGACAAGCATGCATGTGTGTGTGTATTTGTACTAGTCAAAACTAATGCTGATTTTATAGTGCAAGCACTCTGAGATACCACGCCACAGTTTAACATGGATACTCCACTCAAACGAATATCAGTTCTTGTTATATCCCCTAAATGCTGAGCGCCAGGCAGGGAAAGAACAAGTACCATCTTTTAACATCTTTTGGTATTGTATGGCCGGGTATCAAACCATCGACCTTCTGCGCTCTGAAGGTTCTTTCCACTAGACAACAGATTGCTCCAAAACCACTTTGAACTGTATTTGAGTTACACCATGGCATGTCAGCTTAATGGGGCAGGAAAGCCGGGAGGGATGCAGGTCTCAGACTAACCACTTTGAACAGTCACTGTGGTGACCACGGTGACAAACCAGGAAATATAATCAGGGCAAATCTGGGATTCAAACCCATGATCGTAGGTTTCATGTACGTCTAAGGATGCAACTCTGCTCAGTAAATTGCAGAGGCTTAGACAACTTGACAACCCATTTCTCTCATTAGTCAGCAGTGCGTCAGTCATATAATGCCATAAAGCACAAGTATAAAATTGTTCTAAAAAAATGTGACCTTAGTTGAAAAGTCGAGATTAGAACAAAATCCAAACGTCTACATGTACATGAAGGTGAGCATCAAATTTCTCAAGAGAAACAGTACAAAGTATGAGAGTATTCTTTTCAGTGTTTGAAATTAAGAATGAGTGAGTGAGTGAGTTGGTTTTACAAGGCTTTTTATTCCAGCAATATCACAGCGGGGGAACCAGAAAAGGGCTTCCCACATTGTACCCATGTCGGGAATCGAACTCAGGTCTTTGGCGTGACGAGCGAACACTGTAACCACTAGGCTACCCTACCGCCCCTTGAAATTAAGAATGGAATTCAAGGGCCCTTGTCCAAACCCTAATGCAAAGAGTTAATATTTAAATGGGTCTCAAGATTCAAATACAGTAGAAGATATTTAGGACCCTTAATTTCAAACACTGTTTTTTAGGATAATACAAATGGATATTATAAATGTCTATTAAAGGCACAAGTAACAGTTACAAGTACACTTCATTATCAAAACTTAAGTATACATCTGGAAAAAAGATTAGCATCACTTCTATACTTTCATACATCCCGAACTTCCATATCAAGTAAAAAAGGAATTGATACAAAACATAATTATCAGGCATTGTCTAACTATTTCCTGTGCGTATATTAGAACTGATATTTGTTTTTTTAACACCGAATTCTGCAGTATTCCAGCCACGTGACAGCGGTCTGTAAATAATGATGTCTGGACTAGAAGATCCAGTGATTGACATCATGAACATCAAACCATGCATTTGGGATGTGATGACATGCAATCAAACAAGTCACTGAGCCATTTAGTCACCTCTTACAACAAGGATAGGTAGTTGGGAGCAGCTATATTCTTACCCGGAATCCCAACAGGAATGTATATTAGAAGACTTCCACAATGACTTACTTGATCGGATCTATCTCAATGACTCTGTTGGCAAGCTGGGACTCGTGCGACTTGCTCTTCGTGATGGTCACAATATCTGGGAACAACTTCAAACTGCGAGCAGGAGGAGGGGTACCTCTAACCTTTGCCATGCCCCTCCCCCCATGTCTGCCCCCTGGGGGTGGAGTCGGAGGGGGCGTGTACTTTTCCTTGATGTGCATGGTGGGGAGTGGGGAGGAAGGGGTGCTCTGGGGAGGGGTGGGTATTTCTACAGGTTGAGGGGACCCGACGAGTCCCTCTGATGGGAGGGAGGTTGTTGAGGGTCTCTGGTGGAACTTGGGAGAGTTTCCGTTACACGGACTGTTGGATGCTGACTTGCTGGATGTCAAGCCTAGCAAGTCGGTAAAATGCCAATCTCCATAGGTATCCTCCTGCCCTTGTAACTGCATTTCTGGAAATACATAAACAGTGGTCAATCAAACAGGTAACTGATCACCAACCATATAACCTTGTGTGGTTTTTGTTGATTAAAAAAGTTGAAAATCTCAAAAAAATATCACCACATTTGCTGTATTAAGCTTTCTGTTCCAATAAGAGCCCAGTGATCAACGTCTAGACTTTTCTTTATAAGCATCCTTCCTGTACTCAGCCCAAACGTTTACACAATACTTTGTATCTTCTTTTATCTGATATGCAATAACATAGCTGTATAGAAGTGGGTGCAGGTGGTGCGGTAAAAGGCTTGCTGACTTGGTTGATACATGTCATCGATCCCAGTTGCATGGATTGATGCTCATGATGTCAATCACTGGATTGTCTGGTTCAGACTCGATTATTTTACAGACCGCCATCATATAGCTGGAATATTGCTGAGTGCGGCGTTAAACAACAAACTTCAAACAAACAAAACAAAACAAACAAAACAGAAGTGGGTGCTGACACACAGACATTGAGTTTTTCCCCTTAGCAACAACACTAGGGGTGTCATCATGGTCATGATATGCCTTCCTCATGAATAAGTGAGTGAGTGAGTGAGTTGGGTTTAACGCCGCTTTTAACAGTATTCCAGTTATATTGCGGCGTGTCAGCATAATGTGGGAAGAAAGCCTGAAGTGATGCAGGTATCAGACGTTTACCACTTTGGTGAAACCCACGAGCATGGGTATGGTGCTGACAAAGCTAAAAACATAATCAGGGCGAACTCGGATTCGAACCCACAATCATAGGTTTCTGGCCTGCCCAAGGGACGCAACTCGACGACTGGGCCACCAGTTGTCTGTCCACTGCTTAATGCCACACTCAGCAATATTCTAGCTATAGGATGATGGCCTGTAAGTAATTGATTCTCGACCAGAAGGTCCAGTGATTGATATTGTGAGCACCTAATAATGCTGTTGGGGTATGATGACACATTATCAACCAAGGCTCCTCACGACCAGGTTGCTGGGGGCCAATTCTAACCTGGAATCCCCACGGGGCCAGTTGAAAGTTTTGCTACTTCTGAAACAAAGCAAATTCCCAGCACTGTACTCCTCCTCACCTGTGCAATTCTTGAGATTCTTGAGAGCCAGGTTGAGTCGGCGAGTCTCGTCGCTATCTGCCTGATAGCGAGCCAGGAGAGACGCCACATCAGCCTCCGACATCTCCAGAAGGCTATCCAGAGTTATCCCCCTTTCCCTGATGCCCTGTAAAGGAACAAAAAACAGTGTCGTTCAGTGAACGCTTGTTGGATATTTAGTCTTTTCCTGATCTAATGCAGTTTTTGAAATAAATCTTTACAGTCCAGGGCCCTGTTCCACAAAGCGATCTTAACGGTAAGATGATCGTAACTCCCATACTTTAACATAGGCTTACGACAGTCGTAGCGCTAAGATCGCTTTGTGGAACGGGTCCCAGGGGCCCTTGTCATTATCCTCATATCAAAATGTTCAATGTTGGGCAGTTATGGGGTCCCCAGAGACAAGACACAAGTCAATGATGCCACTCCCATGTGAACACTGCAGTGTTACAAACTAAGGGGCATAAAGAGGTATCGTTAAATGTTTTTGGCTTTTGTATTCAAAGCAAATGGGGTACATTATCAATTTAATTGCTTTATTGTAAGATCGATCATCCTCAATTATCATACATGTATCTCCACTCTGTGACATCTATCCTGGACACATCAACACCATAATTGATGAGATACATCAAAATCAACCTTCATTTTTCTTTCATAATTTCATTATCAAACAAGCATTTATATAACCAGTACTCACTGTTAGAAACTAACAGTTTTAGTCCTCTAGTCCTTATAATGCTAACATATAGCAAAACCAATAAAAAGGGCAAATTTCTACTAGTCCTTATGATACCTTAACTATTGGGGAGTTTGGCAAGGACTATAGGACTAGTGCCAGTTTCTAATGCTGCAGTACTCAACTTTACTTTTTGTTTGACATTTGAAATATTTCTGAAACATCTTCCCCTGGACCTATTCTACCCACATTACCTACAGGGTACACACAGAAGGGTACATCGCCCTGGACCTATTCTACCCGCCATACCTACAGGGTACACACAGAAGGGTACATCGGCCTGGACCTATTCTACCTGCCATACCTACAGGGTACACACAGAATGATACATCGGCATGGACCTATTCTACCTGCCATACCTACAGGGTACACACACAAAAGGGTACATCGCCCTGGATCTATTTTATCTGCCATACCTACAGGGTACACACAGAAGGGTACATCGCCCTGGACCTATTTTATCTGCCATACCTACAGGGTACACACAGAAGGGTGCATCTCCCTGGACCTATTCTACCCGCCATACCTACAGAGTACACACAGAAGGATACATCGCCCTGGACCTATTCTACCCGCCATACCTACAGGGTACACACTGAAGGGTACATCGCCCTGGACCTATTCTACCCACCATACCTACAGGGTACACACAGAAGGGTACATCGCCCTGAACCTATTCTACCCGCCATACCTACAGGGTACACACAGAATGGTACATCGCCCTGGACCTATTCTACCTGCATTACCTACAGGGTACACACAGAAGGGTACATCGCCCTGGACCTATTCTACCCGCCATACCTACAGGGTACACACAGAAGGGTACATCCTTCTGGACCTATTCTACCCGCCATACCTACAGGGTACACACAGAAGGGTACATCGCCCTGAACCTATTCTACCCGCCATACCTACAGAGTACACACAGAAGGGTACATCGCCCTGGACCTATTCTACCTGCCATACCTACTTGGCATCCATAAATTTAGCATAAATATTAATTTGCCCATATCCCTAATAATAAAAATTAATACAAAGATAAAGGTCCCTAGAATTAAATAGCATAGCAGAAGATCTTAAGGATCCCAGACCCCCTTTTCAAACACACTGCACACTACTATCACCACAGACCAGGAAGTGACAGCAGGTGTACGGTGGTCGAGTAACAGCATTCAACAGCCCTTCCTGGCCTCATGTATGAAGGTGTTGCTACTTCCTGATTGCTATCATCACAAGGAAATGTTGCATACAGTATGGGCTTCCTAACGGTGGACATGATTCTATCTAACTGAAGGGCAGTTATCTCCCAAACCTATAACCCGAAGCTGTGTCAGTAGTGACAGGCCTAAACGATGTGTGAGCGACTGATACTGGCTTAAGCAACAGGATGACCTTAGTAATTAATATCAGTGTTCCCGATGGCTTTTGAACTCTAAAAATTACCAGTCTCCCCTAGTTTTTGTCGGTCCCAACTTTAAACAAATAGAAAAACACATAAAAATGACCTGCTTTTAATTCTTTCAACACTTTGTTCAGTTCACCTCTGAAGTAACTTGTTCAATCACAATTTTCTCTTCTTTTTTTAATATTTTGACACAAAGTCGCTTCAAATAAATATTTAACCTAGAAGCAAAGCAAAATATTATTCCCTTGCACTAAAAATAGACAAGGGGAAAGCCTGATGGTAACAGACAAGCTGACTTTGTTTGAAAAATATACTTTTATGAATATCACCAATGTTTTGTTTTGATAGGTTCTTTATTTGCCTGTCCACAGGGACTGGCAGACACATGAACAACCGGTCCAAGTCTAATTTTACTGGTAAAAAACTGGTAATTACCGGTAAACGGGAACACTGAATATACAGGGGCAATATATTGGGCAGACTGGACTTCATGTGTTGTACCAAGGTGGAGTGTGTGGGGTTAAACATCCCTGTGACTAGAGCCCAAGGTGATGCAGGTTTCAGATGTTTGCCACTTTGATGTTACCCGAGCATGGGTATGGTGCTGCAAAGCCTAGACACATAATCGGGCAAACCAGGATTCGAAGCCACGACCATAGGTTTCTGGTGTGCTCAAGGGACACAACTCGGCACCCATGTAGGAAAAGAATACAAGTCTTCTATATCAACCCTTGGCTACCAAAGCAAGAGAAACTATATCTGTCCTGGATAATGTTGTTTTGTTTGTTACATGTCCCACTCAGCGATATTCCAGCTGGTCAGTATCAGGACCAAACAAACCATGACTTGTAACAGCAACCTAGGTCAGTGCATGTGATGCATATCTCCTGCATCCTTCAAACATTCTCTTCTGTGTATGCATGTGTGTGAACAATAAATGTAAATATTTCACATGGTTGAAAGTTATGTGACCAGTGTTTGAAATAATTTAAAAACCCAACAAGACAGTAGGGCAGGAGATCCATAAGTGTTGCCTGCCCATCTTCAAAGTTTCCTTTCTGCATTCAGACATAAATATTAAAAAATCTCCAAAAAAATATGTTTGAATTAATGCAAAGGACTACCTGAGAATAACAAGATGACAAATCCCCCCAGCAAAAGGCACCACTCCAGCCCCTGGTAAATACATGGACCAAGTTTGGAAGAAAAAGATTTCACAGTTTTCAAGTTATGCGAAATAAGGACGGAGAAACAGACCAGATGATGACTATAATATATCTGAAGAAAACTTAACACGTAAGTAGTCTTAAAATCATTCGCCAGACAGTTGGGCAGGTGGAGGAAAATTTCATGCAGCCTGACAGAAAAGTTACCAGACACGGGCAGGCAGTTATTTCAGACACTGCATGTAACATAATCAAGGACGCTGTTACACGTCGCATTTTAACAGAGATAACATGAAAGCGACTGAAAATAGACAGCCTTAATATGGACAGAATTTTCACACTATAACCACAATTAGAAAATTATATCTACATGTATTTCTTTGACCCAAGGCAAGTGTGAAGAGTGTTGTATGAACAGTACTTGAGACTAATTTGTACAAACACCACACCACTAAATTACCTCCCAGACTATACGGCCCTGAGCCTTGCTCCTGTTATCTCCAGTGTGGATAGTCAGGGAGGAAACTAGTTTCATGAATTATGATCATGATAATATTGCCTTGAGTTGTGCTGAATCTTACTGCATTACTCAGGTCTGTATCAGGATAGGTATTGCAATATATTATCATTGACATTTTAAAACACTACACAACATTTGCTGAGTACCACACCTTTGACTAATCACTAGTTTGGTCCTCAGTAAAAGAGGAATACAGGAAACTACGGTTATAACGAACTTAAAGGGACTACTAATTTTAGTTCGTTATAACCGTAGTTCGGTATAAGCATTAATACAGCATAACTCCAACAAATAGTCGGGACCAAAAAAGTAAGTTCGTTATATCCGTCAGTTCGTTATAAGCGTGTTTGTTATAACCGTAGTTTACTGTACTGTAAATCGAGAAATCAATGCGTTTCCAAAAGAATGTGACTGCTGGTCCCTAGCCAAAAATGCGACTCAATATGAATGTGACACCCCCTCCTCTCAAGCATCAATGGATTTATATCTAAAGAAAACGTCCTCTGTCTGATTTACAGTAGAATCCTCACTTTAATCCAACCTTGCATTAATCCATTCACACACCAAATAACACTGCTTATTAGCTCTGAGTAGAGTACTTCCGCTAAAACAATTCATGCGCGCTGGCTCGTGTTGGCCTTTGGCGCAGTTGCTAAATGCAAAGACACCGTGTTGGGTGGGTGGCGTCTGTATGGACTTGCAGGTGTGATCAGTGATGACATAAGTGAGTAGAACTCTTGTCTTGACCCAAGCAGTGACAATTCACAGGATGTAATTAGGGTTTGAATGACATTGTTTATATACTTGTTACAAGTGCTGCTCAATAAACAGTGATGTGGAATACATAGTTGTTTGTTAACCATAGTAAAGTCTAACCAAGGGAGGTAACTAGGAGTGAGTGAGTGAGTTTGGTTTTTACGCCGCTTTTAGCAATATCACGGTGGGGGACACCAGAAATCGGCTTCACACATTGTACCCATGTCGGGATTTGAACACGGGTCTTCGGCGTGACGAGCGAACGCTTTAACCACTGGGCTACCCGACCGCCCCGAGGTAACTAGGTATCAGAGATTTAAAGTATATTACAATATTTTGCCATGCACAAGGCCATATTGCGAAACATATCACAATATTTTGTATAATTCTAAATTTTAAATTCAGAAGCCTATTTGCAAGACTGCAATATTTAGTTCATCAATTTTGCCATGTTTTAGACCGAAGTGCTTTCACACTTCGGCTATGCCTATCACATTTGCCACTACTGGCCACAATGCCATCTGGGGCCCCAGATGTTGATGGAAATGTTTAAATGTGAATGCACTAAAGAAGTGGCAGAAACTAACATATTTAGTCCACTAGTCGTTATAATGATAACATAAAGCAAAACCCTTTAAAATGGCAAATGTCTACTAGTCCTTGTGATACCTTAACTATTGGCCAGTTTGGTAAGGACTACAAGACTAGTGCCAATTTCTAATGCTGTAAAGGGAGGTAATTGAGAAGTAACCGCTATCTTAGCATTTTGGTGTTGCAGAACCAAACTTGCATTTTGGAATTACAGAAACATTTTGAAGGTATTAGGCAAATGTATAACATTAAACACATGATAAAAATTGCAATTTGAAATCACACAATATATCGTGCATTAAAAAATGATATTTTGATACGTATCATGGAAAGAGTGAACAACAGTTTACAGATATACCAGTAATACCGCGCACCACTAGAGGGGGTAACACATTGACAAATATTATAGCAGTGTTTACAAGAAATATTATGTCTCATATTAGCAGAACTAGGTCACAGGGTTAGAACTCAACTCAAAAGATTCACTAGCCCCGGTAAAGATAAAATGAGTTTGTAATGTTAATACAATGGGGAAATTTGGAAATTTGTACTAGCCCGAATGAATTTGTACTAGCCTCGGGCCACGGGCTAGTGTTAATTTCTAACCCTGTAGGACGATTTTAATTCATTCAGTATTCATAAAACCCAAACAAATACACTTAATTACATATTTTTTAACATCCCAGCCATTAGTTCACACAGCAATATTTATTGTGGAGGGCTTGTATCATGGTTTCCCAAAGTACCTGTAACACAGAATAGCCCTATCATGTAGGTGGTCGAAGTTCTCTAAAAGCATTAGGCACTTGGGGGTTATTCAAACATGGATACCACCATAACAATGAAGATGCTAAAGATGAAATGTTAAAAGCTGACCTCTACTGCATCCTTTGCCACGCCCACCACCTTCAGCCATTGGTCAGTCTTGGGATACTCCCCAAGCTGTTCTGGCACCACATCGGTTGCCAGGCGTGCCTTGGCAACAAGCTGGTCACTGAATAACTTCACTAGCTTGCTCTGAAATACAACACAAATCAGTCTTTGAATGTTGACAATCTAGATGGCTAATTGGCATGTGATATTTATAACACTATTAACAGGGAAAGAAACATATTTTCTTTCAAGTGTGCCACAGTGCACTCAAAATTTGTTTGAAAGTGCCCATTGGAACGAAAAAAAGAGAACAATATCCAACTTCAATCTCAGTGAGTGTCATTTCACCATGAGCTAGACAATACCCTTGTGACAATACCCTTTTAAGTTTCTGTTTATGTGTTTGCTGTTTAATGCTGCACTCAGCAATATCTCAGATATATGATGGCGGTCTGCAAATAATCAAGTCTGGACCAGACAATCCATTGATTGACATCCACATGCATCAGCCAAGTCAGTGAGGCTGACCACCCGATCCCATTTGTCGCCTCTTACAACAATCATAGTGGCCTTCTGCAGCAAGCATGGGTTGCTGAAGACCTATTCTTACCTGCATCTTCACAGGTAATTCAGTTTCTGAATTACCTGAGTTACTTTTGTGAATCGTACTATCCATAAGTCATATCAATATGTTCTTTTCCCATGTGTGCGTCCAGTTTACTTGTACGGAAGTACACCACAGACTCCATGTCATGAATATTTTTGTCAAAAAAACTAAATGTATTAAACATGCCTTTCAGACACCAGGAACTTATTCTAGCTGTGCAATTACAAATTAAAGGCACTCTAAAACAAAATGTCAAAACTTGGAGACGTATTTCTGAAAATAATATTCTGCCTTAAAAAGGTTTTCCAATATAATCCAGTGTTAGACCTTAACAGTAGCCCACTAGCTACAAATACCTGTGAGCGAGTACAGATTTCCCCATTGCTTTCACATTACATGGGCATTTTGTCTTTACCCAAGCTTTTGAGTTTAGTTCTAACCATGCAATCCAATATGGCCGCCTTGGTGGCCATAATAAAAACCAGATTCGAAACTCTCAGAAATAGCAAAAGAGCAAGGTCAAAGTGCAAAAGTCTGAATGCCAAAATTTATGATTTCACTAAAATGTGAACATATGTTGAGCCCCATTACAATGAACTACTAAGAACGCCATATACACATACACTTTTCATCAGTGGGTGACTTTACATAGCACTTTAATTACTTTCGCAGAGGTCGTGGGTGATAGCACAACCATGGTGATTGAATTAATTTGTATTAAGCGCTTCATTGAGTACCGCGGACCTCGCCCATCTCGCGTACAGGAGACGATAGAGACATCTCGCGTACATGTTACGTCTGCGACTGTTCACTGCATTTTCAAAACAATGTTTCAAACCACAGGAAGGTTTTTTAACATAGAACTTAGAATTAAGAGCAGGGTCCAAACATGAACGCATTCTATAACTAGGACTAAAACCCTATACCAATATTTTTGCATGCAACTTCAGACCAAAGGAACATTAGGCAAAGGATTAGTTTTAAAAATATCACAAGGATGTCCATGACATTTGTTATTATTTCTAAGCAGTTTGTCCCTAAATTACCCAACCTTCTTCACTGTGTCATGTGAGATACCATATTTAGCATCAAAATTGTAAATGGATGCAAATATATGCACTACAAGTCCCACGGGATGCAATGACAGATTGAATTATTGAAACCAGTTCAGTTGTAGCATGCAAGTTAGATTTAACAAACATTACAAACAAAAAATAACATGATCAATATTCAAATTGTCCACGGATTTGTCTACAAATACATGTTGCCTTGATCATGTTGGCAGGCAAATTGTGATTTTTGTTGTTGTTATTTTGTTTAAAATTGGGTATTTCTTTATACTATTTAGTTCACATTTTCTTAAATTTCAAGGTTTTTTACAAAGTTAAGCACTGCCTTCAATGCATTAGTGTATTGAAACATAATATCCCTTCCTCTTAATGGTCCTGTTATCACTGAAATACAAGTCACCTCTGTCTTAAATACCATAACATTATCATGTAGGCTCAACAGGCTTAATCCAAATTGTTCTTTTTGTTTTATAATACATGTAATTGGCATCACGAATCCAAGGAAATGCTACACATGCCATAGTATGCATTATCTTATTTCAATTCATCAATTAGTAAACAGGGTCAAAACTAAAAATATCACCAAAAAAAATGGAACATTGAAGAGTAATACTAAGTGATAGCCTTTTCAATACGGCGGTCTCAAATAAAATTCATGTAAATTGAAATACTATACAAGGTAAACATGCTTACCGTATTCGACGTAATAAGCGCCCAGGACGCTCTCAAAATTAGAAATAGGGGGCTCTTCTTAGAATGTTATTTTGGTGAAAAAAACAGAGTTGAAAGATAAATTTTGCGGTTAATGCTGACAGCCTGAAATGTTTATGTACGACAGATATATTTTTCCAGAATTAAATGGCCATAATTAAGGGCGCATATAACACACGAGTGCGTATTATACGCGAATAAGTCTTGTGGACATTGATCAATCGGAAGGGGTGCTTATTGGGATTGTTTACTAGACAATATCTTAGCAAATGTCGTCGTGGGCGCTTATTACGTCGAATACGGTATACCAATTTAATCCTCAAACCTACCTACCAATATTATTTTTATGAGTTTTATATAGTATGTTAAGGTGATTTTTATTTTCTAAATATAGATACTTGAGTAATCGATGCCTGCGAGCTTATCACATGAAACTGGAAACTGAGTGATGAAGACTGCTGCTAACAAAAACATGGGGCATTACTCTGTGAAGTACGTGTAAATCAAGTTTCCATCAATGCCCATAGTCAATGTGCATTTTCACCAGAAGGAACTCCTTCAAAGGTTCATTGCAATATTTGTAATATTTCATTTAATAGCGATCAGGTCCAGATTGAAAATAAATAAACACAAATTTTGTCAAAGCGACATATTTACTTGATGCATATTTCTTACCATAATTACATGTTCTCCTATTGATAGCTTCCCTTTCACCCTTGCAGTAGTGCTGTTCTAATTAATTGATTGCATCGAGGATTGATTGGTTTCAGTTTCAAACCAAGGAATCAATCTGTAATCAGTTATATCATTTGTTCGTGTTGTTTGGTACAAGAAATTACATTAACTTGTACATTACTTTACATCTGTACATGTTGAATGAAAACAAGAGTTTCACCAAAACTGAAAACCTACAAGGTCTTAAGGCGTTTCTATGGCAAGCTTTCCTACTGGTGGTAGCTCAGTGTTAAGGCTGGGACTGGTTACTCGGGTCGTGTGGGTCCTGAGTAGGACCCGGGTACCCACAGGACTACCCGGACCAGTGGTTAGTCACATGATATATTCTTTAATGACAAAAACTCAATGGTTACGGTATGAGTCACTAATGTTCCCATTTCTTTCGGACAATGCACCCATTCTTTCTGACTTTTATATGGTTGAATAAAGATAAAACTTCAGTTTATACATGACCAGATCATTTTACATGTGTATCTAAATACATTTTGCCAGGGCTAAGGTCAAACTTTTCCAAATCGGACAGTTTGTACCTATCTCTAAATATCTAAAGTGGGTACCCGGGTAGGGTCAGGTAATAAGGTGGTGGGTACTCGGGTAGTAAATTTGGACCCGTCCCAGCCCTACTCTGTATGTGTTGCAAGGTACAGCAAAATATATTTTACTCTTTTTTTATATTGTTAATTCACATAAAATATTCTGAGCAAGAATTTCTAGAAAATTTAAGAATTCTGTTCTCCATTATTATTGTTCAATAAAACATCATCTGTTGCTTTTTCAGTAAAAAGATAAAAAAAGATCAGTCTTGAAATCTTAACCATTTCCCAACACTATATCATACAGCTAACTGCATTTGACTGTATGAAAAGGACTGACAAACAGCCAATTGTATAGTTACACCTCACATCTGTGACAAAGGGCCATGAGTGGGGAATCATATATTCATAACTCCCATGAAAATCTGAGTTAGAATGGGTCTTCAGTAATCCATGCCTGTCGTAAAAGCCGACTCAGGTTCGCTGACTTGGTTGAAGCATGTCATTGTATCTCAATTGTGTAAATTGATGTTCATGATGTCAATCACTGGACTGTCTGGTCCAGACACTGATTACTTACAGACTGCTGTCATATAGCTTGAATATTGCTGCATGCAGCATTAATCAACAACCATATATTCATAAAACCACAACAGATTTCACACCAGTGATTCATAATAAGGCTCCGTGATAACTGATTGATGAAGAATGAAGGCATACCTTAAACTTACTAAACTAATAAGCCATATCAATCATTATCAGTCCGAAACAAATAGCCTGAAATAGAAAATAAGTTTCCTAACATTATGAAATTATGTCGTAATATTTTTGCCTTCTCATTGTTTAATTAAGGTGTGAAAAGGCACGAGGGATAGAATTTCCTACCAACATATAACACCAATGTTTTAAAATATATTCAGGATCTAAAACAATTAGTCAATGTCAATGGATATCACACATTAATATTAATCTGACACTCAGTCTCATTGCACTGTACAGGAATGTCACCTAGCTTACATCGTACATTTAGGTAATGTCTCATATAATTAACCAATTCATATAAATATCAAAGAAAGTGGCTTGTTATCAACGCTCGTTAATCCTAGTAATAGATATAACTGGCCGTAAGATTGCTGGTACTGCACTCAGCACCTTGCTTCTGCTGACGACTATTTGATCGGGTACAAATGTCAAAGATACACTGCAGCCGTTCGTGTACAGGGAAGTGACTGATCGACATATAATCAAGGCGACACAGGCTGCTATTCTACCATTATGGAATAAACTGAATCTGTCACCTCTGTATCTCTTATTTCTTTCTGGGTAATTTGCTCGGTCGTAGCACATTGTGTCCTCAGTCCCACGAGCTGTTTCGCAGTAAAGTCAATCATAAACTGAACCATCTTGCATGCGTTGATTGCCTGCTCCACAGGATCCTGCATATCAAAATCACACGACATTTTCACCACGACTAAGATGCAGGTAGTTCCTCAAACATATTTTCTTCTTAATTATCAATCCAAAATGTAATCAGTGCTTGAAGAAGACCATCCTTGGTGAATATTTATGCCGCAATTTGACAGCCTCGTACCAAGGAAAACAGCGGCCATATTGACGATTAACTCTCGTGTTCACGTGATCACCAACGAGATATCGAATTGTTTGCCGCGAAATTTCAGTGACAGGTGCACGTTGATACATTAAGATGTTGGACAAAACTGATTCGAAGGACAATCCGAATTTACCATGGTAACCAATGAATTTGAAATTAATCGTAGCTTTAATTGTTCGCTGCAAAGAACCGTTACACTTACTGTTACTGTAACGTTTCAACAAAACAGTGTTGTTCTGTATGGAGTCCTATTTTCGTTCAACACTGAAATGTGATGTTTTTGTCCAGAGCGGACACCGCAGTGATAGTTCATACATTATAATGTATATTTTTGGGGAAAGATAACCGTACGCCTCTCTCACACATACACACTGTTTTATTATATCTTATTAGTTAAAATGGGTCGTTTTCGCTGTATATATTTTAAGCGTGGGAAACGTTGGTTGGTCTGGATCCAAGGAATGGGTTCCTAATCTAGGTATGGTAAGGACGTGTTAAATGGGTACCGGGTACCTATCAGTAGTGGTTGTAAAGGGGTACTTGATGGGAAAAATGGATTCAACTCGTCATGACCAACCCCATTGTTGTTAGAGGCAAGCAAGATCTGTGAGCCACAGTCTTGCCTTAGTTTGATGACCAACCAAATACGGCTACGGCATGACCTCACTGTGCCCTCATGTATTGTTCTAATGTAATGCAGTCAGCTGTGGTGGAGGGTGACACAGTAAGGGTATTAGCAATAGTCTAATGTAGATAACTAAACAAATATCCGAGTTGACGTCACACTTTTAGTTCATACATGATTCAGTTATCAAACCAAAACAACAGAGCTCTGTACAGCAAAGCTGACAACCCAAGAGCTGTGCAGAATGACTGTCTTCGATCAAGTTTTTACTAGAGGCAAATTGTAGAGAGAGCTTGTGTGTTTTTCTTATGGATGTGTTACAAATTACTTATTGCCAGCTTGATTGGATTAGAAGCCAGTGTTTACCAGAGTCAAGATAACAATATAAATGCCTCAGGCATATGAAGCCAATCACATTCTGATCATGTTGCAGAACACTCTCCTACCCAGTGTTCTTCGTGGCCAGGGGGGTATGGGTGGCCCAGTTGTCTTAGGCGCCACGATTTGCTGTGCAGAGTTGCATCCCTTGGGCATGCCAGAAACCTATTACATGTATTGTGGGTTCGAATGCTCAAAAAAGTTATTTTGGGCCCTTACACAAGTTTTTGTTTAACATGTTTAACTCCTATACTCTCTCTTTCAGGGTGGAAAAATATCGTCCAAAGAAGCTCGAAGATCTAATATCACATGTTGACATAATTAACACAAGTAAGATATAATTACAAATGATTGTTTTGGACTTGTTATGACATATAAAGTGTTATATTAAATTTTATTATATTATGAAGGTGTATATGTTGTATAGTGCACTTTACCATTTTTGACTGCTCAAATGCAACCCGTGAAGATCCGGGATAGAATAGGTCTTCAGCAAACCAAAGGGCATGGATAGATGCTCATGATGTTAATCACTGGATTGACTGGTCAGTTTGGAGTCAGCATACTGTGTCTGAGTGGGGTATCCATGTTAAGCTGCGGCATGGTATCTCAGTGGACTAGCACTATAAATCGGCATCAGTCCAGACTAGTACAACATGGTACAAGCAGCCACACACATGCATGCACATCGCTATATAAGTGCAATAATCTTGGACATGATGTCAAACACCATGTCACCTCACCTGTTGTATGTTTTCATTAAGGTTGTGTTATTTGTTGTAGTTGAGAGGTTTGTGGCGGAGGAGAGACTGCCCCACCTGTTGTTTTACGGACCTCCAGGAACCGGCAAAACCAGCACCATCCTGGCCGTGGCAAAACAGATCTACTCACCCAAAGAGTTCAACTCAATGGTGCTAGAGGTAAGTGTGGCATGGGATGGTTCTCAGCCATCAACACATATATTTGTAATCTGCATCCAGCCATGTTGAGGGGCGAGGGTTGCACAGTCATCTGAGTGAGTGAGTGAGTGAGTTTGGTTTTATGCAGCTTTTAGCAATATTCCAGCAATATACTGGTGGGGAACACCAGAAATGGGCTTCACACATTGAACCCATGTAGGGAATCAAACCCGGGTCTTCGGCGTGGCGAGCAAACGCTTTAACCACAAGGCAACCCGACCACCCCCACAGTCATCTAGATGCAGCAATGCACTTTACAGAGTTGACCCTCTGGTGTGCCAGAAAACTTTCATGGGCGGTTAGAATCCTGGTTTTGACCCGTGAAGATCCAGGGTAGAATAGGTCTTCAGCAACCCATGCTTGCCATAAAAGGCAACTATGCTTGTTGTAAGAAGCGACAAACAGGATCGGATAGCCAGGCTTACTGACTTGGTTGATGCATGTCATCGCATCCGAATTGCATAGATCGATACTCATGATGTAAATCACTGGATTGTCTGGTCCAGATGCGATTATTTACAGACCACCATCATATAACTAGAATATTGAAGAGTTCTGCTTTAAACAGCAAACAAACGAACTTATGGGATTCACAAAAGTGATAAATGTTGAAGACTGTATCACTTCAGATTTTCCTCCCACATCAAGCTAAAACACCGGGATATAACTGAAATACTGTTCAAAGTGACATTAAACCAAAATCACTTTCATGTGTTTCTGTTATCTGTTCGTTGTATTGAGTCTGTTTAACGAGTTACTGAAAGCGAATACAACCCATTGTACTCCTAACCAGAGAGTGAGTGAGTGAGTTTGATTTTACGCCGCTTTTAGCATTATTCCAGCAATATCACGGCGGGGGACACCAGAAATGGGCTTCACACATTGTACCCATGTCGGGAATCGAACCCAGGTCTTCGGCGTGACGAGCGAACGCTTTAACCACTAGGCTACCCGACCGCCCCCCTAACCAGAGAAGAATCGATGGTAGACAGACACCACAAAGGCACAAATATGGCAAAAAGAAGCTTACCTAAATTTCCTTGTTCGATTTCAGTTGAGACTCCCCCTCTTACTTTTGTTCTTATAAAATATGTTAAAAAGCCCCCTTCCCTTGTCCCCATGGAGATTTCAGGTTAGAATTTGTCTCCAGGAACATAATCATCATGAGAGATGATGATGAATCGGACTCCTTGGTGGATTGTGTGTCCCGATGGCCTGGATCATTGTCTGAGCGAGCCCTATCTATATTTTAATCAGTCAGAAGACTATACCAATATGTAGCTGGAGTTCGCCTTCAAGATGATCCACATGTATCTGAGACGCCCCGTAAAGGTCAAGTCAAGTACTAGTGACAATAATCATATCTTTATTGAGATGTTGATAGCTATCTCTATTTAGACAGGCCTAAGCATGTGTGTGTGATGTTGTGTTTCAGCTGAATGCTTCAGATGACAGAGGTATTGGCATCGTCAGGAACCAGATTCTCAGCTTTGCTAGTACGAGGACTATCTTCAAGTAAATATCTCTCTACTAGACAACCAACTATTATGCTACATGACTGCAATCTCATTTAAATCACATTTTTTACTCTGTTACGAATTACGATACCTCTCTGTGTGAAGGTCTGACAACCAAGGTCATGCCGGGTGAACTTTCTTTCTAATCGGCCAGTCAGCATTGAGGCTTCATATTTTTTAATCCCCCCGGTCAAGTTTGACTTTCGCTCCGTTCACAGTTGTGTGTTTATTATTATATCTAAAACTGATAGATATTCTTTCATGAAACTTTGCACACAAAAACAGGTTGTTAAGTGGTCTTTTGCTATTTAGGGATTTTTTTATTATTATTTTTTTTTTTCATTTTTAATGTCAACCAGTTTTGAGGTTGACTCTGGTCAGACCACAAGATTGTCTGGATAGTAGGGCTTTTACAATTCACTTGTGTATTCGGTGAATCAAACTGTATTCATTCATGAATTGAATTCGTTATTTGTAGCCTCTAGAATCGAATATTTATGAATATGCAATCATGTGCATTTACATACCCTGTACATAAAAATATCCATAAAAACATATTATAAGCATTGATTTCTTAAAAAAGAACACTCTTATAATATTTAATTTGTCAGTATTGTGGTCACTGGTCATTGTCGTCATTGAGCAGATACTATTACCTAGATAAGTGTAGTATAAGAGTGTTTTTATCTTTATAATTAACAAACCATGTCAAATAATTTATCATATTATTGTTTCACTGAATATAAGAAATAATACATCAACTCCTGACTTGTAATTGTATTCGTGAATTAATATTCGTATTCGTTACCCTATATTCGTGATACAAATCGTATTCGCCTCATAGTGTATTCATTGCAGCCCTATTGGGTATCTCTAAAACTAATGGGTATTCTTTCATGAAACTTTGCACAAAAAAAACACCAGGTTGTCAACTGGTGTCTTTTGCTAATTATCGGAGTACAAGATTTGATTTTTATGAGATTGCATGACGACACACTTGTAATTCTCGTTTGAGTGACTGTTTCACGCATTAACATCAATAAAACATGCACAAGATATTTTGCACATGCATGTTTTCCACGCAATGCTTTTTCTGCTAATATCAGTACATCACAGAAATAAAAGAAACAAACCAAAGTTTACAGACGATAATGAATTTAAATGTGGAAATCTCAATTGTGAAAAATGGATCATAGATAGATCGCGCTCACAACTCCGAACAGTAATGAATAATCATCTGATTGGCTAGCCACCCGTGAAGATTTCGGGGTAGAATAGGTCTTCAGCAACCCATGCTTGCCGTAAAAAGTGACTCTGCTTGTCGTAAAAGGCGACTAACGGGATCGGGAGGTCAGGCTCGCTGACTTGGTTGATGCTTGTCATTGATCCCAATTGCGTGGATGGATGCTCATGATATTAATCACTGGATTTTCTGGTCCAGACTCGATTATTTACAGACTGCCGTCATATAGCTGCAATATTGCTGAGTGCGGCGTTAAACAGCAAACAAACAAAATCTGATTGGCTAGCAGGTTCAATCACATCAATGTCTGCATGGTGGAGCAGTTTTATTGTAGCAGTATTTAATAGGAGATACTGTAAATCTTGATATTAACGCGAACATGAATTAAATGCGAAAAATGCGAGTGGTCTTTGCTCGCATTTTTAAACATCACATTTATATCAACAATAAGACATTTTGGATAGCAAAAATACCAACTTAGACACACGCTGATGTATTCCACACCACTGTTTATTGAGCAGCGCTTGTATATAAAGTATTTAAACAATGTCATTCAAACACTAATTACATCATGTCAATTGTCACTACTGGGGTCAAGACAAGAGTTCTACTCACTTATGTCATCACTTATCACACCTGCAAGTCCAGACAGACGCCACCCTTTGTTCTTTGCGACTGGTTCAAAGGTCGACACAAGCCAGCGCGCATGTATTGTTTTTGCGAAGTACTTTACTCAGCGCTAATAAGCAGTGCTATTTGGTGTGTGATTGGATTAATGTAAGGTTAGATTAAGGTGAGGATTCTAAACATGACTGAGGACATTTTCTTTAGATAGAAATCCATTGATGCTTGAGAGGAGGGGGTGTCGCATTCTTATTGAGTTGCATTTTTGGCTAGGGTCCAGTGGTCGCATTCTTTTGGAGCCGCATTAATTTCCCGATTTACAGTATCTCTTGATCCCACTTAAGGGATGTCTTCTGTGGACGCCATTTTGGGATAAGTAGAAACTGCCTCCGTGTCTTTTAATATCACATACATCAACACTTGTTGACATAAGTTGAGTTTTTTTATCCACTCATGTTGAGACATCAAAAGACACAATGGTGAGATTCTCTATGTGCATCTCAAACAAAAATTGCAGCCATGACACGTTAAAATATGAAGTGGACTGACCCTTAGAATACAGCCAAAGCTTAAGCTCCACCCTGACTATAAATAGCCCACCAGGTGGTGGTATTTCGGTTTCGAACATTCACAATTTTAACACAACCGAGTGTCAAGAGAAGCTTTTTGAAAAGACCAAAGACCATCAAACTTCGTATCGACGTGAATGACAAACCTAGGATACCACAAATGGCTCCATACCCAGATATAATTCAATAAATTTTCTGTAGTTTTATAAAAAAATAAATCAAAATTGGTTTTTGGTCATGTTTGAGCGTCTGCCTCAATCACAGTGGGCGGAGCTTATTTAGGGTTGCGCTATAAATAGCAAAGCACATGGCCATGTGGACATGTGACACATTCAATGTGAAAGTGAACAGATTGGTTACTGGTTTGTCTGGTCTTGATTATTTGCGGGCCACTGTGATGTTTTATAACCAGTAATAACTGGAACAAAAAATATATAATTCGCTTCTTGCTGTCTTTGCTGGGCAGTTAATGGCAGACGCATACCTTGATAATGCCCTGAAAAGTAGTGTCACCCTTGTAACATGATTTATTTTAATTTTCAGATCTGGCTTTAAAATCGTTATTCTGGATGAAGCTGATGCTATGACTCGGGATGCTCAAAATGCTCTCAGGAGAGGTAGGTTACCATGGTAACTCTGATCAGTAGTGTTGATGATTTTCCAAGAAGGATGAGGGCTTTGATAATTCAAAACTTGCACCTGTGCGACCTGAAACTTTGAAATGTAACCTATGTCTTCACTTGTTACCTGTTATTGATCGTTTATTTGTTGATGTAATAAACACCAATATAAAACAGATTGCTTTTCTCATTTTTGAAAAAAAAGTGACCTTCAGTACCTTGTGTTTTGTTTGGTTTCAGTGATTGAGAAGTTCACGGAGAATACCCGGTTCTGCATCATCTGTAACTATCTGTCCAAGATCATTCCTGCCCTGCAGTCCCGGTGTACCCGCTTCCGTTTTGGTCCTCTGTCCACAGACCAGATGGTCCCCAGACTAGAACACGTTATTGCACAGGAGGGGTGAGCTTGTACCACTACAAAACTTAGTAGTTAGGTAGCAATACAATAATAGCAGGACATTATATATCTCAATGGTAAGGCAGGAGTACAAGGCACATGAATAGTAAGGTGGCAGTACAAGGCACACCAATAGTAAGGTGGCAGTACAAGGCACATCAATAGTAAGGTGGCAGTACAAGGCATGTCTGAATAGTAAGGTGGCAGTACAAGGCACATCAATAGTAAGGTGGCAGTACAAGGCATGTCTGAATAGTAAGGTGGCAGTACAAGGCACATCAATAGTAAGGTGGCAGTACAAGGCATGTCTCAATAGTAAGGTGGCAGTACAAGGCACATCAATAGTAAGGTGGCAGTACAAGGCACATCAATAGTAAGGTGGCAGTACAAGGCATATCTCAATAGTAAGGTGGCAGGACAAGGCATGTCTCAATAGTAAGGTGGCAGTACAAGGCACATCAATAGTAAGGTGGCAGTACAAGGCACATCAATAGTAAGGTGGCAGGACAAGGCACATCAATAGTAAGGTGGCAGTACAAGGCACACCAATAGTAATGTGGCAGTACAAGGCATGTCTCAATAGTAAGGTGGCAGTACAAGGCACTTCAATAGTAAGGTGGCAGTACAAGGCATGTCTCAATAGTGAGGTGGCAGTACAAGGCATGTCTGAATAGTAAGGTGGCAGTACAAGGCACTTCAATAGTGAGGTGGCAGTACAAGGCATGTCTCAATAGTGAGGTGGCAGTACAAGGCACACCAATAGTAATGTGGCAGTACAAGGCATGTCTGAATAGTAAGGTGGCAGTACAAGGCACTTCAATAGTAAGGTGGCAGTACAAGGCATGTCTCAATAGTAAGGTGGCAGTACAAGGCACTTCAATAGTAAGGTGGCAGTACAAGGCATGTCTCAATAGTAAGGTGGCAGTACAAGGCATGTATCAATAGTAAGGTGGCAGTACAAGGCACATCAATAGTAAGGTGGCAGTACAAGGCACACCAATAGTAAGGTGGCAGTACAAGGCATGTCTCAATAGTAAGGTGGCAGCACAAGGCACATCAATAGTAAGGTGGCAGCACAAGGCACATCAATAGTAAGGTGGCAGCACAAGGCACACCAATAGTAAGGTGGCAGCACAAGGCATGTCTCAATAGTAAGGTGGCAGTACAAGGCATGTCTCAATAGTAAGGTGGCAGTACAAGGCACATCAATAGTAAGGTGGCAGTACAAGGCATGTATCAATAGTAAGGTGGCAGCACAAGGCATGTCTCAATAGTAAGGTGGCAGCACAAGGCACATCAATAGTAAGGTGGCAGGACAAGGCGTGTCTCAATAGTAAGGTGGCAGCACAAGGCACACCAATAGTAAGGTGGCAGTACAAGGCATGTCTCAATAGTAAGGTGGCAGCACAAGGCATGTCTCAATAGTAAGGTGGCAGTACAAGGCATGTCTCAATAGTAAGGTGGCAGTACAAGGCACATCAATAGTAAGGTGGCAGTACAAGGCATGTATCAATAGTAAGGTGGCAGCACAAGGCATGTCTCAATAGTAAGGTGGCAGTACAAGGCATGTCTCAATAGTAAGGTGGCAGTACAAGGCACATCAATAGTAAGGTGGCAGTACAAGGCATGTATCAATAGTAAGGTGGCAGCACAAGGCATGTCTCAATAGTAAGGTGGCAGCACAAGGCACATCAATAGTAAGGTGGCAGTACAAGGCATGTCTGAATAGTAAGGTGGCAGCACAAGGCACATCAATAGTAAGGTGGCAGCACAAGGCACACCAATAGTAAGGTGGCAGTACAAGGCATGTCTCAATAGTAAGGTGGCAGCACAAGGCACATCAATAGTAAGGTGGCAGTACAAGGCATGTCTCAATAGTAAGGTGGCAGCACAAGGCACATCAATAGTAAGGTGGCAGTACAAGGCATGTCTCAATAGTAAGGTGGCAGCACAAGGCACATCAATAGTAAGGTGGCAGCACAAGGCACATCAATAGTAAGGTGGCAGCACAAGGCACATCAATAGTAAGGTGGCAGTACAAGGCATGTCTCAATAGTAAGGTGGCAGCACAAGGCACACCAATAGTAAGGTGGCAGTACAAGGCATATCTCAATAGTAAGGTGGCAGTACAAGGCATATCTCAATAGTAAGGTGGCAGCACAAGGCATGTCTCAATAGTAAGGTGGCAGCACAAGGCATGTCTCAATAGTAAGGTGGCAGTACAAGGCACATCAATAGTAAGGTGGCAGGACAAGGCATATCTCAATAGTAAGGTGGCAGTACAAGGCATGTCTCAATAGTAAGGTGGCAGTACGAGGCACATCAATAGTAAGGTGGCAGTACAAGGCACATCAATAGTAAGGTGGCAGGACAAGGCATATCTCAATAGTAAGGTGGCAGTACAAGGCATGTCTCAATAGTAAGGTGGCAGCACAAGGCACATCAATAGTAAGGTGGCAGGACAAGGCATATCTCAATAGTAAGGTGGCAGCACAAGGCATGTCTCAATAGTAAGGTGGCAGCACAAGGCACATCAATAGTAAGGTGGCAGTACAAGGCATATCTCAATAGTAAGGTGGCAGTACAAGGCATATCTCAATAGTAAGGTGGCAGCACAAGGCATATCTCAATAGTAAGGTGGCAGTACAAGGCATGTCTCAATAGTAAGGTGGCAGCACAAGGCACACCAATAGTAAGGTGGCAGTACAAGGCATATCTCAATAGTAAGGTGGCAGTACAAGGCATATCTCAATAGTAAGGTGGCAGCACAAGGCATGTCTCAATAGTAAGGTGGCAGCACAAGGCATGTCTCAATAGTAAGGTGGCAGTACAAGGCACATCAATAGTAAGGTGGCAGGACAAGGCATATCTCAATAGTAAGGTGGCAGTACAAGGCATATCTCAATAGTAAGGTGGCAGTACGAGGCACATCAATAGTAAGGTGGCAGTACAAGGCACATCAATAGTAAGGTGGCAGGACAAGGCATATCTCAATAGTAAGGTGGCAGTACAAGGCATGTCTCAATAGTAAGGTGGCAGCACAAGGCACATCAATAGTAAGGTGGCAGGACAAGGCATATCTCAATAGTAAGGTGGCAGCACAAGGCATGTCTCAATAGTAAGGTGGCAGCACAAGGCACATCAATAGTAAGGTGGCAGTACAAGGCACATCAATAGTAAGGTGGCAGCACAAGGCACATCAATAGTAAGGTGGCAGCACAAGGCACACCAATAGTAAGGTGGCAGTACAAGGCATATCTCAATAGTAAGGTGGCAGTACAAGGCATATCTCAATAGTAAGGTGGCAGGACAAGGCACATCAATAGTAAGGTGGCAGGACAAGGCACATCAATAGTAAGGTGGCAGCACAAGGCACACCAATAGTAAGGTGGCAGTACAAGGCATATCTCAATAGTAAGGTGGCAGTACAAGGCATATCTCAATAGTAAGGTGGCAGCACAAGGCATGTCTCAATAGTAAGGTGGCAGCACAAGGCATATCTCAATAGTAAGGTGGCAGCACAAGGCATGTCTCAATAGTAAGGTGGCAGTACAAGGCATGTCTCAATAGTAAGGTGGCAGCACAAGGCATATCAATAGTAAGGTGGCAGCACAAGGCACATCAATAGTAAGGTGGCAGCACAAGGCATATCAATAGTAAGGTGGCAGCACAGGGCATATCAATAGTAAGGTGGCAGTACAAGGCACATCAATAGTAAGGTGGCAGCACAAGGCATGTATCAATAGTAAGGTGGCAGTACAAGGCATGTCTCAATAGTAAGGTGGCAGTACAAGGCATGTCTCAATAGTAAGGTGGCAGCACAAGGCACATCAATAGTAAGGTGGCAGTACAAGGCATGTCTCAATAGTAAGGTGGCAGTACAAGGCACATCAATAGTAAGGTGGCAGCACAAGGCATGTCTCAATAGTAAGGTGGCAGTACAAGGCATATCTCAATAGTAAGGTGGCAGTACAAGGCATGTCTCAATAGTAAGGTGGCAGTACAAGGCATGTCTCAATAGTAAGGTGGCAGCACAAGGCACATCAATAGTAAGGTGGCAGTACAAGGCATGTCTCAATAGTAAGGTGGCAGTACAAGGCATGTCTCAATAGTAAGGTGGCAGTACAAGGCATGTCTCAATAGTAAGGTGGCAGCACAAGGCATGTCTCAATAGTAAGGTGGCAGCACAAGGCATATCTCAATAGTAAGGTGGCAGTACAAGGCATGTCTCAATAGTAAGGTGGCAGTACAAGGCATGTCTCAATAGTAAGGTGGCAGCACAAGGCACATCAATAGTAAGGTGGCAGTACAAGGCATGTCTCAATAGTAAGGTGGCAGTACAAGGCATGTCTCAATAGTAAGGTGGCAGCACAAGGCACATCAATAGTAAGGTGGCAGTACAAGGCATGTCTCAATAGTAAGGTGGCAGTACAAGGCACATCAATAGTAAGGTGGCAGTACAAGGCATATCTCAATAGTAAGGTGGCAGTACAAGGCACATCAATAGTAAGGTGGCAGTACAAGGCACATCAATAGTAAGGTGGCAGTACAAGGCATGTCTCAATAGTAAGGTGGCAGTACAAGGCACATCAATAGTAAGGTGGCAGCACAAGGCATGTCTCAATAGTAAGGTGGCAGCACAAGGCACATCAATAGTAAGGTGGCAGTACAAGGCATGTCTCAATAGTAAGGTGGCAGTACAAGGCATGTCTCAATAGTAAGGTGGCAGTACAAGGCATATCTCAATAGTAAGGTGGCAGTACAAGGCACATCAATAGTAAGGTGGCAGTACAAGGCACATCAATAGTAAGGTGGCAGTACAAGGCATGTCTCAATAGTAAGGTGGCAGTACAAGGCACATCAATAGTAAGGTGGCAGTACAAGGCATGTCTCAATAGTAAGGTGGCAGTACAAGGCATATCTCAATAGTAAGGTGGCAGTACAAGGCACATCAATAGTAAGGTGGCAGTACAAGGCACATCAATAGTAAGGTGGCAGTACAAGGCATATCTCAATAGTAAGGTGGCAGTACAAGGCACATCAATAGTAAGGTGGCAGTACAAGGCACATCAATAGTAAGGTGGCAGTACAAGGCATGTCTCAATAGTAAGGTGGCAGTACAAGGCATGTCTCAATAGTAAGGTGGCAGTACAAGGCATATCTCAATAGTAAGGTGGCAGTACAAGGCACATCAATAGTAAGGTGGCAGTACAAGGCACATCAATAGTAAGGTGGCAGTACAAGGCATGTCTGAATAGTAAGGTGGCAGTACAAGGCACATCAATAGTAAGGTGGCAGCACAAGGCATGTCTCAATAGTAAGGTGGCAGCACAAGGCACATCAATAGTAAGGTGGCAGCACAAGGCACATCAATAGTAAGGTGGCAGCACAAGGCATGTCTCAATAGTAAGGTGGCAGTACAAGGCATGTCTCAATAGTAAGGTGGCAGTACAAGGCATGTATCAATAGTAAGGTGGCAGTACAAGGCATGTCTCAATAGTAAGGTGGCAGTACAAGGCATGTCTCAATAGTAAGGTGGCAGTACAAGGCATGTCTCAATAGTAAGGTGGCAGTACAAGGCATGTCTCAATAGTAAGGTGGCAGTACAAGGCATGTCTCAATAGTAAGGTGGCAGTACAAGGCATGTCTCAATAGTAAGGTGGCAGTACAAGGCATGTCTCAATAGTAAGGTGGCAGTACAAGGCATGTCTCAATAGTAAGGTGGCAGTACAAGGCATGTCTCAATAGTAAGGTGGCAGCACAAGGCATGTCTCAATAGTAAGGTGGCAGCACAAGGCATGTCTCAATAGTAAGGTGGCAGTACAAGGCATGTATCAATAGTAAGGTGGCAGTACAAGGCACATCAATAGTAAGGTGGCAGTACAAGGCATGTCTCAATAGTAAGGTGGCAGTACAAGGCATGTATCAATAGTAAGGTGGCAGTACAAGGCATGTCTCAATAGTAAGGTGGCAGTACAAGGCATGTCTCAATAGTAAGGTGGCAGTACAAGGCATGTCTCAATAGTAAGGTGGCAGTACAAGGCATGTCTCAATAGTAAGGTGGCAGTACAAGGCATGTCTCAATAGTAAGGTGGCAGTACAAGGCATGTCTCAATAGTAAGGTGGCAGTACAAGGCACATCAATAGTAAGGTGGCAGTACAAGGCATATCTCAATAGTAAGGTGGCAGTACAAGGCATGTCTCAATAGTAAGGTGGCAGTACAAGGCACATCAATAGTAAGGTGGCAGTACAAGGCATATCTCAATAGTAAGGTTACAGTACAAGGCATGTCTCAATAGTAAGGTGGCAGTACAAGGCATGTATCAATAGTAAGGTGGCAGTACAAGGCATGTATCAATAGTAAGGTGGCAGTACAAGGCATGTCTCAATAGTAAGGTGGCAGTACAAGGCATGTATCAATAGTAAGGTGGCAGTACAAGGCATGTATCAATAGTAAGGTGGCAGTACAAGGCATGTATCAATAGTAAGGTGGCAGTACAAGGCATGTATCAATAGTAAGGTGGCAGTACAAGGCATGTATCAATAGTAAGGTGGCAGTACAAGGCATGTCTCAATAGTAAGGTGGCAGCACAAGGCATGTCTCAATAGTAAGGTGGCAGCACAAGGCACATCAATAGTAAGGTGGCAGCACAAGGCACATCAATAGTAAGGTGGCAGTACAAGGCATATCTCAATAGTAAGGTGGCAGTACAAGGCATGTCTCAATAGTAAGGTGGCAGTACAAGGCACATCAATAGTAAGGTGGCAGTACAAGGCATATCTCAATAGTAAGGTGGCAGTACAAGGCATGTCTCAATAGTAAGGTGGCAGTACAAGGCACATCAATAGTAATGTGGCGGTACAAGGCATATCTCAATAGTAAGGTGGCAGTACAAGGCGTGTCTCAATAGTAAGGTGGCAGTACAAGGCACATCAATAGTAATGTGGCGGTACAAGGCATATCTCAATAGTAAGGTGGCAGTACAAGGCATGTCTCAATAGTAAGGTGGCAGTACAAGGCATGTCTCAATAGTAAGGTGGCAGTACAAGGCATGTCTCAATAGTAATGTGGCGGTACAAGGCATGTCTCAATAGTAAGGTGGCAGCACAAGGCACATCAATAGTAAGGTGGCAGTACAAGGCATGTCTCAATAGTAAGGTGGCAGTACAAGGCATGTCTCAATAGTAAGGTGGCAGCACAAGGCACATCAATAGTAAGGTGGCAGTACAAGGCACATCAATAGTAAGGTGGCAGTACAAGGCATGTCTCAATAGTAAGGTGGCAGCACAAGGCACATCAATAGTAAGGTGGCAGCACAAGGCACATCAATAGTAAGGTGGCAGTACAAGGCATGTATCAATAGTAAGGTGGCAGTACAAGGCATGTATCAATAGTAAGGTGGCAGTACAAGGCATATCTCAATAGTAAGGTGGCAGTACAAGGCATATCTCAATAGTAAGGTGGCAGTACAAGGCATGTATCAATAGTAAGGTGGCAGTACAAGGCATATCTCAATAGTAAGGTGGCAGTACAAGGCATGTCTCAATAGTAAGGTGGCAGTACAAGGCATGTCTCAATAGTAAGGTGGCAGTACAAGGCATGTATCAATAGTAAGGTGGCAGTACAAGGCATATCTCAATAGTAAGGTGGCAGTACAAGGCATGTCTCAATAGTAAGGTGGCAGTACAAGGCATGTATCAATAGTAAGGTGGCAGCACAAGGCATATCTCAATAGTAAGGTGGCAGTACAAGGCACATCAATAGTAAGGTGGCAGTACAAGGCATGTCTCAATAGTAAGGTGGCAGTACAAGGCACATCAATAGTAAGGTGGCAGTACAAGGCATGTCTCAATAGTAAGGTGGCAGTACAAGGCACATCAATAGTAAGGTGGCAGTACAAGGCATATCTCAATAGTAAGGTGGCAGTACAAGGCACATCAATAGTAAGGTGGCAGTACAAGGCATGTCTCAATAGTAAGGTGGCAGTACAAGGCATATCTCAATAGTAAGGTGGCAGTACAAGGCATGTCTCAATAGTAAGGTGGCAGTACAAGGCATGTCTCAATAGTAAGGTGGCAGTACAAGGCACATCAATAGTAAGGTGGCAGTACAAGGCATGTCTCAATAGTAATGTGGCGGTACAAGGCATATCTCAATAGTAAGGTGGCAGTACAAGGCATGTCTCAATAGTAAGGTGGCAGTACAAGGCATGTCTCAATAGTAAGGTGGCAGTACAAGGCATGTCTCAATAGTAAGGTGGCAGTACAAGGCACATCAATAGTAATGTGGCGGTACAAGGCATGTCTCAATAGTAAGGTGGCAGCACAAGGCACTTCAATAGTAAGGTGGCAGTACAAGGCATGTCTCAATAGTAAGGTGGCAGTACAAGGCATGTCTCAATAGTAAGGTGGCAGTACAAGGCACATCAATAGTAAGGTGGCAGTACAAGGCATGTCTCAATAGTAAGGTGGCAGTACAAGGCATATCTCAATAGTAAGGTGGCAGTACAAGGCATGTCTCAATAGTAAGGTGGCAGTACAAGGCATGTCTCAATAGTAAGGTGGCAGCACAAGGCACATCAATAGTAAGGTGGCAGCACAAGGCACATCAATAGTAAGGTGGCAGTACAAGGCATGTCTCAATAGTAAGGTGGCAGGACAAGGCATGTCTCAATAGTAAGGTGGCAGTACAAGGCATGTCTCAATAGTAAGGTGGCAGTACAAGGCATGTCTCAATAGTAAGGTGGCAGTACAAGGCATGTCTCAATAGTAAGGTGGCAGTACAAGGCATGTCTCAATAGTAAGGTGGCAGCACAAGGCACATCAATAGTAAGGTGGCAGTACAAGGCATGTCTCAATAGTAAGGTGGCAGTACAAGGCATGTCTCAATAGTAAGGTGGCAGTACAAGGCACATCAATAGTAAGGTGGCAGTACAAGGCATGTCTCAATAGTAAGGTGGCAGTACAAGGCATATCTCAATAGTAAGGTGGCAGTACAAGGCATGTCTCAATAGTAAGGTGGCAGTACAAGGCATGTCTCAATAGTAAGGTGGCAGTACAAGGCATGTCTCAATAGTAAGGTGGCAGTACAAGGCATGTCTCAATAGTAAGGTGGCAGTACAAGGCACATCAATAGTAAGGTGGCAGTACAAGGCATGTCTCAATAGTAAGGTTACAGTACAAGGCATGTCTCAATAGTAAGGTGGCAGTACGAGGCACATCAATAATAAGGTGGCAGTACAAGGCACATCAATAGTAAGGTGGCAGTACAAGGCACATCAATAGTAAGGTGGCAGTACAAGGCATGTCTCAATAGTAAGGTGGCAGTACAAGGCACATCAATAGTAAGTTGGCAGTACAAGGCACATCAATAGTAAGGTGGCAGTACAAGGCATGTCTCAATAGTAAGGTGGCAGTACAAGGCATATCTCAATAGTAAGGTGGCAGTACAAGGCACATCAATAGTAAGGTGGCAGTACAAGGCATGTCTCGGTAGTAAGGTAACTTATACTCCTGTTGTGGCAAAGGATGTCTTGAGACTCAAATACGTCACAGACTGTTTAATGCCCTCAGTTGTGAGGGTTACTCTCACCTAACGAGGCAGCAGCAAGGGTACATCAGCAGGTGTGGCTCCTCATTCCAGGGGAGACTACTTGTCATGTGAGAGATCGGAGCTATGGCTGCAAGTTGTTGTCCAGCTCTTGACTGTTGAGAGTATCTCAGGATGTCAGTCAAAAGCATGCTCTATTTCCTTGCTAGTTCTTTCTCACATGCAAAACAAACTAAGAATATCTGGCTCATTATTGTTTGTTTGTTTAACACCTTATTTAAAATTGTTCCAGCTACATGACGTCGGCCTGTAAATAATTTGAGTCTTGACCAGACAACCCAGTGATTGACATGAACATTGATCTACGCAATTGATATGTGATGAAATGCATTACTCATTGACTTACTTCCCAATAATTATCACAATTTGTTTCTCCACAGCATCAAGGTGACAGAAGATGGGATGAAGGCTGTGGTTACCCTGGCAACGGGAGACATGAGGAAGTCCCTCAACATCCTGCAGGTGAGTCAAACAGAACACTACTGACGACTTTGAGACTTAGATCTTCAACAGCCCTTTCTGCTTATAGCGGCATTTGCTGCAGGAACTACTTGACTCTCAGTGGGTGGAGCTTATATGAGTGATCTGACAGGTCAGTATGACGTCATGATAACAAGCAAATTTCATTGGTTAATGCGTAAACAGGTGACATGACATGACATGTGAACACCCACCCACGTGGGTCCTTGGACAGCAAGGACATAAGTTTGTGCAATGTGGAACTCACCACTTATGGTAATAAATATACATCAAACAATTCCACGACTTTTCAACAAACGAGTAGGTCTTTGGTTTCAAAACCTTCACATCTTCATAAATATGTACAGGGCGGTCGGGTAGCCTAGTGGGTAAAGTGTTCGCTCGTCATGCCAAAGACCTGGGCCCACTTGCACAAAGCGATCTTAGCGCTACGACTATTGTAAGCCTATGTTAAAGTATGGGAGTTACGATCATCTTAGCGCTAAGATCGCTTTGTGTAAGTGGGCCCTGGGTTCTATTCCTGACAAGGGTACAATGTGTGAAGCCCAGTTCTGGTGTCCTCCGCCGTGATATTGTTGGAATATTGCTAAAAGTGGCGTAAAACCATACTCACTCACTTATAAAATGTCACTGGAATCTCCATGATTTATGTTTTAATTCCAGTCTTGTATTCTCTTTATGAGAAGGAAATACGTTTGTTGTGATAAATAAAGTGTTAATTAAAACATTCAACATAATGTGTATGATGGCACCAAACGTAATCCTGTGGTGTACGGTATATTTGCAGTTCTTGAATAACATTTCTGAAAACATCCATGGATGTCGTGATTTCAACTGTGTTTTTGACGTGTTCTTATTGCCTACACCAGGAATCTGTATGACAATGATCGAAAATCCTAATAATTGTCAAAATATTTTCAAGTGATGAAAGAGGTACACTTGTCCGAAAGTTCCTCGTGCCTCGTCACACCATGATACTTTGCGGGTCTCCGTGGCCCAGATTTTAATTTCCTGTGGATTCCTTTTGTGGCATCCATGTTTTCTTATGTGTTTCTCATCTCCAACCTTAACCAACAAGAGTGAGTGAGTGAGTTGGGTTTAATGCCGCTTTTAACAGTATTACAGTTATATCATGGCATGTCAGCTTAATGTGGGAGGAAAGCCCGAAGTGATGCAGGTCTCAGACGTTTACCAATTCGATGAAACCCACGAGCACGGGGATGGTGCTGACAAACCTAGAAACATAATTTGGGCCGAACGGGGATTCGAACCCACAATCAAAGGTTTCTGGCATGCCCAAGGGACGCAACTTAGATGACTGGAACACCCGTGCTTCCAACAAGAGAGTGGGCGGGCGAAATAAAATAGTTTTTAAAAAAAACAAGACTGTCTTTCAATGATTATGTAACTTATGATCCTTTAAAGCTTAAAACACTTGGTAACGGTCTATATATTAATTTATGACATAGATCAAGTCGCTCAGGTTCGGAAAGGAATTTCAATAAACAGCCGAAGAAAGATAAAGTTGACCTGTTTTTTTATGACTGTGCAAAGCTAGTGGTAATTTTTTTAGCAGAGTGGTGCACAGTTTCTTACAGCAGCAGGACAAATTTTTATTATTGCACACCGGAATGGAGATGCAAAACTACGGAAAATACGGAAAGCCTTACATGCTTCGAAACGATGTTCAGATAATATTCATTCACACTGGTATTCCTGTCATGTATGTGAACATGGATGTCAACATTATTTTCATCAAGATTGTCATACAATTTACAAAAACCATGCATTACATGTCGCCCGCTCCATGGATCATTCTCTCTTGAAACTACTTCGGCATGAACACATTTTTTGGCCTCAAAGCTCAAAGCAACAATGTCGCTCTCAGCTGCATTTTTCTCTTCATCCATGAAGAGCATCTCAATAATCTTTTGTGGTCAATTGATTTCAACAATGCAATACACACAGCCTCATTACAAGATTCCTTTGACGCCCTGGAGCAAGTTTGCACACTTTGCAAGTTCCCTTGTCTTCAATATGAGCAACAAACATTTTCGTGTGACGCTTAATTTGACGGGAGATGATCAGAGGAGCCTTGGTCATTTCGATTATGACATTGATGACTTTTTCATGGGAAAGTTCCAGTTCAAAATGACCTCTTCTGGCTGTCAACTCGAATCAACAAGATGGCGCCTCTCTTCCCGCCCTTGCAAGTGCAACAGAAACTTTGACAAATTCAGTGCCAATTCTTGGGATTAGTGGATCGGTGTGTCAGCCAGGTGAAGGCGAAGATGTCTGTTCACACTGGTTTTGTCAGCCACAGTTGTTAGGGAATTGTGCCCAACCAAGTTGGAGAAACTCGTCAATTTGGAAACAGTGCTACAAAGACTTTTGGACTGAGCTGAATAGACGAAGTGTTTGGAGAGATCCTAGATGCTTCAAGCAACGGATGTTATGAAAAAGAGGGTTTTATCTTGAGTCCGATCCTCGACCCCAAGTCTGCTGCAAACGTCAGTTACAAATCCCAAATTGGAATTTAAAGTTTCCCAATTCATGATAATAAATCGTATAAATCCACAACTGATGTTATGTTTGTGTAGAGGGGACTTGCATGTCAGCGATGACAGGAATCAGGAACAATAAAGAGGAAGAGGCTTTAAGTTACAACATTGAATGTAGTGTTAAAATCAAAACTTTAAAATATTCCCTTTTTTGAACAATATGTGACCCACCAGGAGAAAAGGGAGCTTATTGGTGCTGTGACATCATAAAAACGTTTGACGTCAACTTACTTGTGTGAAGATCGCCATGTGTGATGTCATGTATCTCTGAAATAAATATGAATTGAAGCTTGTGAATTGTAATTTTGTGTTCCGAAGATGCTGTAGTTTTCAAATATAATAAAAAGTTAAAATGTGATTTTTCACCCATAAGGTCTATTATCTCATGGTTGGTCACATGTAAAAAATAATTCCCAATTTGCCTGTTAAGGGCACTTAGTTTGGAATCCATAAATCCCAGTAGAATCTTGAGGCTGTTTACTCAAAGAGTCTGGACTGATCAAGGAACATCAGTTGAGCACACTTCCCCCAGTTCTGGTCGTCATAGTGACATGTCCTGTTTTGTTTCAGAGTGCGTCCATGGCGTACGAGGAAGTGACGGAAGACAACGTGTACACCTGTGTGGGGCATCCCTTGAGGAGGGACATTGAAAACATCGTCAACTGGGTCCTCAATGAAAACTTCACATCGGCATACAACAGTATCCTTGAGTGTGTTAAAATGATGGTTGCACTTGGTCGTAACTGCTGTAGACTAGAACTCTCCAGGGACTGTAAGATACAGCAAGACCTCTATGGTCCAGTGGTTGGTTGTTTTGTTGTTTAACGCCGCATTCAGCAATATTCCAGCTATATGACGACGGTCTGTAAATAATCGAGTCTGGACCAGACAATCCAGTGATCAATATCATGATCATCGATCCACGCAATTGGGATCGATGACATGTATCAACCAAGTCAGCGAGCCTGACCACCCGATCCCGTTAGTCGCCTTTTACGACAAGCACAGTCACCTTTTACGGCAAGCATTGGTTGCTGAAGACCTATTCGACCCCAGAATCTTCACGGGTTTGGTCCAGTGGACAGTACCTCTGCCCAGGGAACGGAAGGTTGGTGGTGCGATCCCTGGCTGAGTCACAGTGTCCAAAATAGCTGCCTGCTCGCTATCCCATGTCTGGTGACATTTCTGTCGGAATAGGTGAATTTATTCCTTCTTGCCTGAATCTCTTGAGACTGACACTGACAATTTTGATTGACATGTGACTCACCAGGGGTAGAAACTAACATTTTTAGTCTACTGGTCCTTATAATGAGTACGTATAGCAAAGCCCTTATTTAATGGCCAATTTCTACTCGTCCTTATGATACCTAAACTATTGGGGAGTTTGGGAAGGACTACAGGACTAGTGCCCATTTCTAACGCTGATCACTACCTTTGGGATTATGAAGCTGTGTTGAAGGCACAGAGTAAAGTAAATCTGAGAAAACTGACAATAATCGTCTACTCTGGTATGTACTTACAAATGTGGCCGCAACTTTTAAGATGGGAGAGTTAGATTATGAACACGTTAAGATCCAGCTAGAGGAAAGGTCTTTAGCAACCCATGCTTTAAGAGGCGACTATGCTTGTCGTAAGAGGCAACTAACGGGATTTGATGGTCAGACTAGCAGACATGGATGATGCATGTCATTGCATCCCAATTGTTTGGATTGATGCTCATGATGTCAATCACTGGATTGTCTGGTCCAGACTTGATTATTTACAGACCGCTGTCATATGGCTGGAATATTGCTGGGTGCAGCGTTAAACAACAAACAAACAAAAGGTACATTTATGAGTCACCTCCTCGCCTGGCTTGTTGGGAGTAAACATCATTTCAGACCAAAAGATGTTTAAAGATGGTACTTGTTATTACCCTGCCTGGTGTTTGTCGTGGGTGCATGCCTATAGCTATATAAGTGCAGTAAACGCGACATTAAGCCTCGTTTCATCTCAAGTCGTCTCATGACACCTCTTTCTCTTGTTACCTGCATTATCTTGATGTTACAACACAGCATATTGACACTGACGTAAGGGGTATTCACATGCAATGCGGCCCGTGAAGATCCGGGTTAGAATAGGTCTACAGCAACCAATGCTTACTGAAAAAGGTGACTATGCTTGTTGAAAGAGGCGACTAACGGGATTGATGTGGTTGATGCATGTCATAGTATCACAATTGCGTGGAACAATGCTCATGATGTCAACCACTGGATTGTGTGGTCCAGACTCGATTATTTACAGACCACCATCATATAGCTGGAATATTGCTGAGTGCGGCGTAAAACAATAAATAAACAAATACAGCAATGATTCTGAGATCCAGTGTCCTGATACTGAAGTGCACGTTTTAGAGGTAATCAAAGCATTGATTATATAGCATCATACTTCTATGAACAGTTCAGGGTAAATTACCATAGTAATGTATGTACATTCAGCCTCGCTCCAGTTATCTCCCTTACCTTGTGAGACATCAGTCACCTGAAGGTGGCTAAAGGCCTGGCCCTCCAGGACATCCTGACCGAGGTCCACCAGTACGTCCATCTAGGTACGATGCTCGACTGTCAGACTGGATTTGCAAACAAACTTAGGAAATACAGATTATTAGAGTTATTTTTGCCATATGGATTCTCAAAGTTACTTTGGGCTATTTGGATGATCATAGTCTATATGGATTATCAAAAGCTATATGGATTATCAAAGTCTACAAGGATTATCAAAGTCTATATGGATTATCAAAAGCTATATGGATTATCAAAAGGTATAGGGATTATCAAAGTCTATAAGGATTATCAAAGTCTATAGGGATTATCAAAGGCTATAGGGATTATCAAAGTCTATAAGGATTCACAAAGTCTATATGGATTATCAAAGTCTATAAGGATTATCAAAGTCTATAAGGATTATCAAAGTCTACAAGGATTATCAAAGTATATATGGATTATCAAAAGCTATAGGGATTATCCACGTCTATAAGGATTATCAAAGTCTATAGGGATTATCAAAGGCTATAGGGATTATCAAAGTCTAAGGATTCACAAAGTCTATATGGATTATCAATGTCTATAAGGATTATCAAAGTCTACAAGGATTATCAAAGTATATATGGATTATCAAAAGCTATAGGGATTATCAAAGTCTATAAGGATTATCAAAGTCTATGTGGATTATCAAAAGCTATATGGATTATCAAAAGCTATAGGGATTATCAAAGTCTATATGAATGATTAAAGTTTATATTGATAATCAAAGTACATGGATTATCAAAGTTACTTTAGCCTATAGGGATTATCAAAGGCTATAGGGATTATCAAAGTCTATAAGGATGATTAAAGTCTATATGGATTATCAAAGTGCATGGATTATAAAAGTTACTTTAGCCTATAGGGATTATCAAAGTCTATAGGGATTATCAACAGCTAAAGGGATTATCAAAGTCTATGAGGATTATTAAAGTCAATATGGATTATCAAAAGCTATATGGATTATCAAAGGCTTTAGGGTTTATCAAAGTTTATATGGATTATGAAAGTCTATAGGGTTTATCAAAGTCTATAAGGATCATCAAAGTCTATATGGATGATCAAAGTCTATATGGATTATCAAAGTTACTGTTGTCCATATGGGTTATCAAATTTATTTTAGGCCATAAAGATTATCAGAGTTACTTAAGGCCATACAGATTATCAATTGCAACATTGTTTCTCTCTGTGTTGACAGTTGACCTGCCGATCCATGTGCGAGTGCATCTCCTGGAGAAACTGGCTGACATTGAGTAAGTGCTCCTTCAAATAATATAAGTAGTTCCCTGTTTTACAATCATTATGGCTGAGTTGCTGTCAGCAATCACTTGTGACCTTCCATGCATTGCCTCTTCATAGGGAGACACATCTGACAGTCTAATAGCTCTTCAACTGATAAGTATCAGTGAAGCTGGATGAGAATAGCCATCTCGCTCAAGGGGAGACATGGTCACATGGTAGACTTCGAGGTTTATTAGGTGCATATTGGTTTCAAATACACAAAATAAATCACCATAACTGAATTAAATAAGAGGCGACTAACGCAATCGGGTGGTCAAGCTCGCTGACTTGGTTGATGCATGTCCAATTGCTTGGATCAATATTAATCACTGGATTGTCTGGTGCAGATTCGATTATTTACAGACCACCGTCATATAGCTGGGATATTGCTGAGTGCAGCGTTAAACAATAAACCAACCGACCAATTAAATATGAGTTGCTGTGTACAAATAAGCATGAAACATTAAAATATTAGAACAACCAACAGTATAACCAGTATAACAGTATTACCCGATGTAGTCTTTTCAACGTGCGTACCAGTAGTTGTTTACAGATATTTATTTACTGATTAGAAGCAGGCATCACCATACATTTACGTTACAGCAGTGGATAAGGCACAAAAGTGATAGGTCTCGCTTACTTTTACTTGGACAAGTATATGATAATGTACCAGGATGTTATAGAACACCTGAGTTGTTCATGACAGATTAACTTTAGTGACAAAATTGGGTGTTCTTGGACTTGAATGCCCAAAGAAAACTGTCAATACGCAGTGGCTCCATGGATTAGATTAAGTCTTCAGCAACCCATGCTTGCCCCACTCAGTGGCTCCACGCATTAGAATATGTCTTCAGCAACCCATGCTTGCCCTACACAGTGGCTCCACACATTAGATTAAGTCTTCAGCAACCCATGCTTGCCCTACTCGGTGGCTCCACGCATTAGAATATGTCTTCAGCAACCCATGCTTGCCCTACTCAGTGGCTCCACACATTAGAATAAGTCTTCAGCAACCCATGCTTGCCCCACTCAGTGGCTCCACACATTAGATTAAGTCTTCAGCAACCCATGCTTGCCCCACTCAGTGGCTCCACACATTAGAATATGTCTTCAGCAACCCATGCTTGCCCTACTCAGTGGCTCCACACATTAGAATAAGTCTTCAGCAACCCATGCTTGCCCTACTCAGTGGCTCCACGCATTAGAATAAGTCTTCAGCAACCCATGCTTGCCCCACTCAGTGGCTCCACACATTAGAATAAGTCTTCAGCAACCCATGCTTGCCCCACTCAGTGGCTCCACACATTAGAATAAGTCTTCAGCAACCCATGCTTGCCCTACACAGTGGCTCCACACATTAGAATAAGTCTTCAGCAACCCATGCTTGCCCTACTCAGTGGCTCCACGCATTAGAATAAGTCTTCAGCAACCCATGCTTGCCCTACACAGTGGCTCCACACATTAGAATAAGTCTTCAGCGACCCATGCTTGCCCCACTCAGTGGCTCCACACATTAGATTAAGTCTTCAGCAACCCATGCTTGCCCTACACAGTGGCTCCACGCATTAGAATAAGTCTTCAGCAACCCATGCTTGCCCCACTCAGTGGCTCCACACATTAGATTAAGTCTTCAGCAACCCATGCTTGCCCTACTCAGTGGCTCCACACATTAGATTAAGTCTTCAGCAACCCATGCTTGCCCTACACAGTGGCTCCACGCATTAGAAAAAGTCTTCAGCAGCCCATGCTTGCCCTACTCAGTGGCTCCACGCATTAGAATAAGTCTTCAGCAACCCATGCTTGCCCTACTCAGTGGCTCCACGCATTAGAATAAGTCTTCAGCAACCCATGCTTGCCCTACACAGTGGCTCCACGCATTAGAATAAGTCTTCAGCAACCCATGCTTGCCCTACTCAGTGGCTCCACACATTAGAATAAGTCTTCAGCAACCCATGCTTGCCCCACTCAGTGGCTCCACACATTAGAATAAGTCTTCAGCAACCCATGCTTGCCCTACTCAGTGGCTCCACGCATTAGAATAAGTCTTCAGCAACCCATGCTTGCCCTACTCAGTGGCTCCACACATTAGAATAAGTCTTCAGCAACCCATGCTTGCCCTACTCAGTGGCTCCACACATTAGAATAAGTCTTCAGCAAACCATGCTTGCCCTACTCAGTGGCTCCACGCATTAGAATAAGTCTTCAGCAACCCATGCTTGCCCTACTCAGTGGCTCCACACATTAGAATAAGTCTTCAGCAACCCATGCTTGCCCCACTCAGTGGCTCCACACATTAGAATAAGTCTTCAGCAAACCATGCTTGCCCTACTCAGTGGCTCCATGCATTAGAATAAGTCTTCAGCAACCCATGCTTGCTCTACTCAGTGGCTCCACGCATTAGAATAAGTCTTCAGCAACCCATGCTTGCCCTACTCAGTGGCTCCACACATTAGAATAAGTCTTCAGCAACCGATGCTTGCCCTACTCAGTGGCTCCACACATTAGAATAAGTCTTCAGCAACCCATACTTGCCCCACTCAGTGGCTCCACGGATTAGAATAAGTCTTCAGCAACCCATGCTTGCTCTACTCAGTGGCTCCACACATTAGAATAAGTCTTCAGCAAACCATGCTTGCCCTACTCAGTGGCTCCACGCATTAGAATAAGTCTTCAGCAACCCATGCTTGCCCTACTCAGTGGCTCCACACATTAGAATAAGTCTTCAGCAACCCATGCTTGCCCTACACAGTGGCTCCACGCATTAGAATATGTCTTCAGCAACCCATGCTTGCCCTACTCAGTGGCTCCACACATTAGAATAAGTCTTCAGCAACCCATGCTTGCCCTACACAGTGGCTCCACGCATTAGAATATGTCTTCAGCAACCCATGCTTGCCCTACTCAGTGGCTCCACACATTAGAATAAGTCTTCAGCAACCCATGCTTGCCCTACACAGTGGCTCCACACATTAGAATATGTCTTCAGCAACCCATGCTTGCCCTACTCAGTGGCTCCACGCATTAGAATAAGTCTTCAGCAACCCATGCTTGCCCTACTCAGTGGCTCCATGCATTAGAATATGTCTTCGGCAACCCATGCTTGCCCTACTCAGTGGCTCCACACATTAGAATAAGTCTTCAGCAACCCATGCTTGCCCCACTCAGTGGCTCCACGCGTTAGAATAAGTCTTCAGCAACCCATGCTTGCCCTACTCAGTGGCTCCATGCATTAGAATATGTCTTCGGCAACCCATGCTTGCCCTACTCAGTGGCTCCACGCATTAGAATAAGTCTTCAGCAACCCATGCTTGCCCTACTCAGTGGCTCCAAAACTTTATCCAAATCGCTCATGAGATCAATCACTGGATTGTCTGGTCCAGACCCGATTATTTACAGACCACCCTCATATAACTGAAATATGGATGAGTGCGCTGTTAAACAACTAACAAACGAAACAAACTACTATTTTAGATAACAGTAAGACAACGTCCTAGCAAATAATCAAACGAAACCCTGCATTAGTAATCCATTTATACACTAACACTTGGAAACGACCGATAGCAAACTACCAGGTCATTATTCTCACTACAAACAAACAAACAAACAGTGGCTCCAAAACTTCTCTGGAGCCCTGGTACTATGTTCCCTCCAGGTGTGGTGAAGGTTCCTAAAAGTCATGTCACTGATGAATTGTCATTGACAAGATGTACGTCACTCCCATGCTGGTATCAGTGCATCTGGTATGTCGGTGGCTCAATGTCAGTCAAATCTGTTGCTCCGATACAGTACCTCTCTGGGTAATATCTCCATAGAAGGTCACATCAGGTCAACTCTCATCAAACTCGGATTGCCTAATCTAAATGAAGTATGTGTGTTCTTGAGCCAATCAGACATCAGTTTTCTAAAACAGTTTGGCTTGAATTCTTTGCCATCTCAATTCGGAACAAAAAAACCAGGGTGGTATATTTCAGGTCACGACATGGTGGTATATTTCAGGTCACTACATGGTGGTATATTTCAGGTCATGACATGGTTGTATATTTCAGGTCACAACATGGAGGTATATTTCAGGTCACGACATGGTGGTATCTTTCAGGTCATGACATGGTGGTATATTTCAGGTCACGACCGACATGGTGGTATATTTCAGGTCACGACATTGTGGTATATTTCAGGTCACTACATGGTGGTATATTTCAGGTCACGACATGGTGGTATATTTCAGGTCACGACATGGTGGTATATTTCAGGTATCGCCTGGCGTCTGGGACCAGTGAGAAAATCCAGCTGAGCTCCATGATTGCTGCCTTCCAGACCGCACGGGACCTACTGGTCAGCCAGGCCAAGTGACAACTGCGTTTCACACAATCGGAGGTGATCAGCGAGGCTAAATAACCACAGCCTTTCACAGTGTGGGAGGTGGTCAGCGAGGCCAAGTGACCACTGCCTTTCAGTCTGGGAGGTGGTCAGTGAGACCAAGTGATCACTGCCTTTCACAGTGTGGGAGGTGGTCAGCAAGGCCAAGTCACCACTGCCTTTCACACTCCATGGCAGGTGCTTGGCAGTATTACCAAGTGACTGCAGCCACATTGCTACATTGTATATACTGTATATATAAATCAGAAAGTGAGACATCTTGCATTGTGTCCGTGTTGTCATTAAGTCATCTGGGAAGACAACTGGTGATTATTATTCTGCCTACATGAAGGGGTAGGGCAGTCGAGTGATTACAGCAGAGCCTTTCATGCTTAAGACCCAGGTTCGACCACACCTACATGGGAACATGTGTTAAGCCCACTGTGCTGGGGCCAAATGGTAGGGGGGGGTTGGCACAGACAGGTAAGGACCACAAGATAACTATTAAAACAGGGGGGGGAGGATGGCACAGACAGGTAAGGACCACCAGATAACTTTTATAACGGGGGGGGGGGCAGAGGTCCTCGGAAATAAAATTTCCAAAATCCAAAATTGGAAGAGTTTAGTTTTACACCACTTTTTGCCAATATTCAAGCAATATCATGGCGGGGGACACCAGAAACTGGCTTCACACATTGTACCAATGAGGGGAGGGGAATTGAACCCAGGTATTTGGTGTGATGAGCGAATGCTTTAACCACTAGGCTATCCCACCCCCCTCCAGAATTGTAAGAAATGTTTGTTACAGGTAATAGTTGTATAGTAATAATGAACGACTGCCAGTGATCGAAGAAATATGGGGGTAATATGGGAAACTTAAAAGTTGACATTTTTGGATCAGTAGTCAGTAATACGGCCACAATTTGTCAGACATTCATTCACTAGACGAGACATACTGTGTATGAGTCTCCCAATGGTGATTTGAGGGAGTCTGTCCCACCCGTCTTGCAGCTCCAGACCAAATTCAGCCAACGTGGTTAGCGGCTGTATGACGTCGAGGCACAATTGTCCCTATCATACCCCAGACATGTTCAAAGGGGGAAAGTTCTGGGCTCATTGCACACTGACTTCTGCCAGTTTCTAGCATGCCAATAGCCTATAGACACTCCACATGTTTCCCCCCAGACATGTTCAAAGGGGGAAAGTTCTGGGCTCATTGCACACTGACTTCTGCCAGTTTCCAGCATGCCAATAGCCTATAGACGCTCCACATGTTTCCCCCAAAGACATGTTCAAAGGGGGAAAGTTCTGGGCTCATTGCACACTGACTTCTGCCAGTTTCCAGCATGCCAATAGCCTATAGACGCTCCACATGTTTCCCCCAAAGACATGTTCAAAGGGGGAAAGTTCTGGGCTCATTGCACACTGACTTCTGACAGTTTCCAGCACGCCAATAGCCTATAGACGCTCCACGTTTCAGACGCCACATCGCAAGTTCATATACAAACAATGAATGATATCAAGTAAATCACACCTGTATGATAAGCAGAATCATTAAGATTCACAGAAATAATGGTCCACAGAGATTAATCGATCTTCCTTGAAAGTGTCAAAATTAGGAATGTCACCCTACGCACACATGTGGTGCTACTGCGTGCAGCATGTGCACACTATAGGATGTGTTTTGGTATTAACGTTCTTGCATTGGACGTTTGGGCTCAACACTTACGAGGGCGTTCAATAAGTTTGTAACTTGGGCATTTGTGTTTACACAAATATTGTCAACTTGTGGCAGGTGTGACACTAGTCATAACATCAAGTTGACACATGTTATAACAAGTTCCAGACACAACAATAAGTTAGATGTGATGGCTTCATTCACCTAAGGGTGGTCACAATCATGGATTCTCTCAAACATGAAAAACGCGCTGTAATAAAGTTCCTTACCAAGGAGGACAGAGCAAAAGAAGTCCATGACCGCATGTGTAAAGTGATGGGTAAGGATGCTCCTGACTATTCCACAGTTTGCCATTGGTCTCTACAGTATATAAGGGGCAGGCCTTCAGATGCCACCCAACGGGAAACCATTGCTGCAATAGAAAGAAGAATTTTGTCTGACCGACGAGTGAAAGTATCTGAACTTTCTAGGAAATTCCAAATATCAGTTGGAACTGTTGGACCCATTATTCATGAATATCTTGGTATCTCCAAAGTATCTGCAAGATGGGTACCTAGAAACCTCAGAGCTCAAGATCGCCATCAGAGAGCTGAAAGTTGTCAGACCTCCTGAATCTCTATACTGCTGATGAAGCCGGATTTCTTTCTCGTCCTGTGACAGGTGATGAAACATGGATCCAAAACTGGGACCCAGAAACTAAATTGGAATCCATGCAATGGAGGCACCCCAATTCTCCGTCTCCGAGGAAGTGTCGCACTCAACCATCGGCTGGTAAGGTAATGGCCACCATATTTTGGGATGCAAGAGGCATATTACTGATTGATTGCATGCCACCAAAAACTACAATCAATAGACAGTATTATGCTAATGTAATGAAAGAATTGCGAAAATCTATTCGCCAGAAACGCCGTTGGATGTTAACACGTGGTATTCTATTTTTGCATGACAACGCTCCGGTTCACAAGTCGAGAATTGCACAGGCCGCCATATGTTAATGTGGATTCGAACAGTTAAATCACCCACCCTACAACCCAAGACTTAGCCCCCAGTGACTATTTCCTGTTCCGGCAAAAGAAATCTGCCCTACGTGGAAGACACTTACAGGATGACGAGGACATAAAGGCTGCCACAGAGGCGTGGTTAGAGGGCCAATCTGCGGATTTCTATAAAAGTGGTATTAAAAGCTTGAAGGATAAATGGAATAAGCGTATTGAGGTGAATGGAGATTATATTGAAAAATAAAAGTGCAAAAGATATTCTGTGACTTGGTCTGATATTGAAGTTGCAAAACGTATTGAACGCCCCTTGTATCTTTGTCCTAATAATTGGTATAAACAGTTCATGATCACTTGTTTGAAGAGTGTAGTTCAATTATGTTACCTAGACACACTTTTCACAGTCAATATAAAGCAATGTCCAATAAAAACTTAATGAAATTATTATACAACAACTATTTCATACCCGTGAAGATTCTGTTTAGAATATATCTTTTGTACCCATGCTTACCGTAAAAGGCGATAATGCTTTAAGAGGCGACTAACGGGATCGGGTGGTCAGGCTGGCTGACTTGGTTGATGCATGTCATCGTATCCAAATTGTGTAGATCGATGTTCATGATATCAATCACTGGATTGTCTGGTACAGACTCGAGTGTTTACAGACTGTCGTCATATAGCTGGCATATTGCTGAGTGCGGCGTTAAACAACAAACAAACAAAACAAACCACTATTCTAGATAAAAGTAAGTCAATGTGCAAGCAAATAAGCAAACGAAACCCCGCATTGATAATCCATTTATACACTAACACTTGGAAACGTCCGATAGCAAACGGGGGTACGGGTGGCCCAGTCGTCTAAGGCGCTGCGATTCGCTGTGCAGAGTTGCGTCCTTTGAACACGCCAGAAACCTATGATTGTGGGTTCGAATCCCGGTTCGCCCCAATTATGTTTCCAGGTTTGTCAGCACCATACTTGTGCTCGTGGGTTTCACCGAAGTGGTAAACGTCTGATACATGCATCCCTTCGGGCTTTCCTCCCACATTAAGCTGACACGCCGCGATGTAACTGGAATACTGTTTAAAGCGGCGTTAAACCCAACTCATTCATTCATTCATTCCCATAGCAAACACCCAGGTCATTATTCCCAGAAGTATTAGAAGCTGCTGTAAAATCTCCATCGTCTTCACTGGATTGGAAACCGCGAGCCTCTGGGACACCCACCCTCGTACCACGCACGAACACGGAACAACTATCACTGGCGATGAAGTGGACACCGGTTGTTCGTGAAATGGTTTTCTGTTCTATTTAAAATAAATGTTGGCTTGCATTTTGATTACTTCGAATTGAGGTAAATGTTCGAAAAGTGATGGTCATTGATGGTGTGAATGTATGGTTTGATTTTTTGTTGAACGTGGCAATCGGTTCCACACCTTCGGGGTACGAAGACACATTCAACTAAGACACCGAGCGTAAGAACCCGCGAAGATCCGGGATAGAATAGGTCTTCAGCAACCCATTCTTGCCGTAAAAGGTGACTATGCTTGTCGTAAAAGGCGACTAACGGGATCGGGTGGTCAGGCTCGCTCACCTGGTTGATGCATGTCATCGATTCCAATTGCGTGGATCGATATTCATGATATCAATCACTGGATTGTCTGGTCCAGACTCGATTATTTACAGACCGCCGTCATATAGCTGGAATATTGCTAAGTGCGGCGTAAAACAACAAACCAACCAACCAACCAAGCGTAAGGTCGTGATTCATAATTCGCTCGTGCATGTTCGTGCACGGCGCACAATTGGGATGTTTGCGTGTTTGTTGGGAACATGATACGCACGTGTTTTTTTAAATGTGAAGAGCACACAATGATCGTTCGGCTTTCACGTACTCATTTTAAACACTTTTGTTTTACCGTAAATTATGAGTGAGTTGGGGTTAACGCCGCTTTTAACAGTATTTCAGTTATGTCACGTCGTGTCAGTTTAATTCATGTGGGAGGAAAGCCCGAAGTGATGCAGGTCTCGGACGTTTACCACTTCGGTGAAACCCACGAGCACGGGTATGGTGCTGACAAACCTAGCAACATAATCGGGGCGAACCGGGATTCGAACCCACAATCATAGGTTCCCTGCGTGCCTAAGGGACGCAACTCTGCATAGTAAATTGCGGCGCCTTAGACGATTGGGCAACCCGTGCCCCCTTTACCGTAAGAAACGTTTACGGGAAGCCGATACTGAAAATCAACGTGTACGCGCCGTGGGTATGCTGCAAACAGGAGTGGTGCAAAACGAAGTTGCCAGACATTTTCATCGAAACACAATATCTCTTTCGAGATGTTATCTACTGCAGAGCAACACTTGCAACGTCAACAAGACAACCATATTTGGCTGGTGCATCTACGGAATCCATACGAGACAGCCACATTAACAGCTTGGACAATTCTGGGTTGAGACCACTTTGTGGCAGAACCGTAATCAACCGGTTGAGGGAACACAACATCCGGCCCTGACGTAAAACAATAGGCCTAATTGTGCTTCCGCGTCACCCCCAGGCACGCCTAGCTCGGTGTGGACAGCATCTGACGTTCAGAAGACAAGTGAGTGAG